AAGGAGGTTTACCAGGATTGTACCATGAATGAAGGACCTTAGCTTTGAGGAAAGGTTAGCGAAACTAGGATTATTCTCTCTAGAGCAGAGAAGGTTAAGAGTGGATTTAATAGAGGTTTTCAAGATCATGAGAGGATTTGATAGGTTGAACCAGAAAAAACTGTTTCCATTTACTTATAGATCAATAACCCGAGGACACCGATTTAAGTTAGTTGTTAAAAGAAACAGAGGGGAGGTTAGGAACATTTTTTTCACCCAGCGAGTTGTTCGGATCTGGAATGCATTACCTGAAAGGGTAGTGGAAGCCGATTCAATAACAACTTTTAAGAGAGAAGTAGATGGGTATTTGGGGAGGACAAGACTGCAGGGCTATGGAGAGAAAGCGGGCCAGTGGGATTGAGTTGGATTGCTCGTTTCGGAGCTGGCGCAAACACGATGGGCCGAATGGCCTCTTTCTGTGCTGTATGAATCTATGAAAACAGTGAGCAATATGGGAAGATGGTAACAAAAACAGAGATAGCACAGTGCTGAAAAATTGTGTCCCTAAGCCATATTTCTAGGTAAAAGTCAGCATGCAACATCATAAATTGATTTTTTACTCGCATTTCAAATAAAAGCACAGAACTATTTCTGATCGATCTCAGGTCCATCAACATATGTCTGACTACAATTTGGCTTGTATATTCATTCTACTGTTCGTACTAGAACATCAATCAGAGTTGTGAGGAAAAAATAAGTATTTGTTACATTTGAAATTCTCTCGAAAATATTTATTGTTGCAATACCTTCTCTGAAACACAGATGCACAATCCCTTGAGTGGCTGTGACTCTGGTACCTCACCCTTGTAATTGTGCCTCCTGTGGGAGCATCAGCAGGCAGTTCAAACAGTATGGGACATGGCAGCTGAGACAGATGTTGCTTGCTCTGAATGTTCATATGTGAGAACTTCCAACATCAGCTTGTGTCCAATTGATCAAGTACATAATTTTTTTTTCCTCCTGAACTTTGGAAAACTGAAGCCAATTCCAGTATTGTGCTACAGTTTTCCAGTATTACAATTATACATGTATTTTTACCTACAAAATTACACTGTCACTATGCTTTACAGTACATCCTGTGGAGTGCTTTGAGATATCCTCTCGAAATGAAAGATGCTATACAAATGTAATTTGTTATGAAAATCAAATGCAACAAAAGCTGAATAGGTTTTAAAAATGCAGTGAAAGGTTTTTTTATTTAAAACAAAAAATAAAATTCAGGTCAAATTACCCAAAAATCAAATATTAAAAAAACAGCCACACTTCACTTCCATGTTAGTTGTAAAACTACGAAATTCAGTTCTAACTTATCCCACTGAAAGTCTTTCATCATATTTTATGCTGCTCTTACTGAGTTTGGTTCTGAGTAAAAGTGACACTGAGGAACATTGCACATTTTGCATGAACAGTTTCCACATTGTGGCTTTCACTGTACAAGAATGTCCTATAAATCAAGCTCAAATCATAAACACAAAATAGCTAGCTTATGAAGCAAAAGCCTCCATAAATTGTTTGCATGGCCTTTTCTATGCAGTTTAATCTTTAAATTCTAGAAACAGAAGAGAAGCTACTGAACTAATGATCAAGTTACAAGAACGGAAGTCACTGGGAACACTCAGCAGGTCAGGCAGCATCTATGGAGAAAGGAAAGTTCTGACGAAGGGTCGTAGACCCGAAACATTGATTCACTTTCCTTTCTCCATAGATGTTGCCTGACTGCTGAGTGTTCCCAGCGACTTCTGTTTTTGTTTTCAGATTTCCAGCATCTACAGTATTTTGGGTTTTGGAATGATCAAGTTATTTATTTTTTCTCATTTTTTTGTAGGCCTCTAATCTTTTTTGAAAAAATAAGGAAACTTATTTCTTCAGGTTAGATTTTCCCATACTAAAGCACGCAATTCTTTAAGATGCATAAATGCCAAACTAATAAAGTTTACTTTGATAAACTTAGATTTCACAAGGCAGTACACTATAAAATTCATATCAGAAATTTAAAGCGATTAACTTACTTGTTATTTTAGGTCTATTTGTTATTTTATCCCAATTGTAGACCAGTTCCTAAACATAAGCACTTTAGGACGATTAGGTGCTTCTGCTTTATTGAAAAAAAATGTTCTTATCTGAAAACCGTGTAAACCCTCATGTGATAGCTTCAACTACATTTTTTTCTCCCCATTTCTTGAAGCCAAGAACACTGTAATACTTCCAATAATGCAACTTTCTTTAGTGTTTCTATTTACAGTTAACATGTCATTTATTAAACATGGTAGAAGTTTGTGAAAAGGATACCGACTCTCAACATGCTTGATTCATGGAGCAACATTAAAGTGTCAATCATTCATTCCTTTGACAAAATCAGGAAAATAAATTACCGAATCAAACAGAATATTTCAAAGGTTTAATAATATGAAAGTTGTAGCACAAAACACTGAATATTCTATATAATATTGCTAAATCTAAAATGGATTACAGTTCAAGGTTGACATTCACGAAAGTCCAATTTTTTTTAATATGGAAGTCACTTTTGTTAGGTGCAATTGGAGCTGTTTTTATCTAAAAACAGTACCCAAACTATCAAAACTGCACAATTACTCAACATAGTGCAAACTATAATTTAAACATTACTAAAAAAGAGCATGAAATACTTGCTGCTGTTAAAATGATATTTATTCCACATGCAAGAGGCACCCAATATCACACGAGCATCACATCTAAAGTAAGCCGTGTACATCATTCGACATAATAAATACCATATTCAACTCTCCTTTGGTGAACATTTGTCACCTTAGATTACAAATATTAAATTTAAGGTGTCATTAAGTTTAAAATTCTTTGGAGGTCAAATTATTAAGTGAAACGTGAGTCATAATGATGTCAGATACCAGCACATGCCATCAGTGCAACTGGAATCAGAAGTGGATTTTTATACAGAATTGACTCTACTAAAGAAGATCAAGGGAGGATTCTTTCTGCAGCTGTGATTAGAATGCAGGGGTTGCGTGTGCAACGATATGATGCTCAGGTATCGAACTGTGCTCGTTTCTTTTTTCAAAAAGGTAGAAAAGATAGAGAAGGGCTATTCAGATGATTTAAGTTAATTGTTCACGAAAGAACTTTAAGCTATTTTGTGCAATTGGCAAGCATTTTACAAGACTAACAGCATGTATATTAGTTTGCTTTGCCGAATCATAGAGCAGTTATAGTTGCATGGGGTGGTTGTAAATCACGGAGCATTTACATATTTTTTACAGGTTGAAAAATACACCATTGCTTTATTTGTAAATTTGTAAAATAATAATAGCGTTTGATATAGCGTCTTTCACATCGTCGAGACGTCTCAAACGTTTCACAGGATATACTGCAAAGTGGATTGACTGTGCATTTTGTATATCTTTAATGTCAATTAACAGAAACCAGAGAAGCACTTATCCCAAATCTTGTTATAAAAATATTTGCCATAAATTACTTCTACTATAGCCAATTTTAATCTGTTAAGCGTGTGTGTCAGATAGAATAAACATATTTTTTATATATATTATGAAGAAATGTGTATATAATATGAATATAAATAAAATTATTGTGGAAAATCAGCCCTACGTGTTATACAAGTACAGAGCAGCAAATCAATGTTAACCCACAGTTCAAGGAGAAATTACAAGATGTAAATTATTTTGGCTACAAACTGAATATTGCATAGTTACAGCATGTTTTTGCTTACCAAATTGTTTACTTCTTATTGGTCTAGGATAGCTTTTCTTTTGCTTCAGCGTCCTCCCCTACCCCCCCTCCCTTTAGCTGCAGTGCGATTCTAGAAATACTGCACCATAAACGGTTTTACTTCCAGACTGTTGAGTGGTGTCTATATTGATCACTTGACTTCCTTTTGCAGGGTTGCCTTTTTTTTCTATAGTAAAATGGACAAGCATATCTGGGCTGGCCTGGCCATCATGACTCTGGATGTTTTACATACAATCTGAAAGAACTCACACATAATTTGCTTTGGTTTCTTTCTACACCAGTCACTGCAAGACAGCAGCAGATAACTGGAACGATCACATTATAAGTTTGACCTTCAGCACAGATTTAAATTGTTTTTCACCTCTGCTATAGACTATTGCACATACTTCAAGGGGAGTCTGATTTTCAATTAATAAAGAAAGTTTTGACAAATCCACATCTGATGCAAGGTTTTTACAATTATCTCCAGGCTTCAAAAGTAAAATACTCATTATAATCTAGACGATTTATGTACGAACACCGAAAAGCAGCATGTTCCTCTTGGAAGATTTTCACAGCAATTGTTGAACAAGCAACTGTGAATCCCACAACGGCAACAGTGCACCGAAGAAGTCCAATTATTCTACTCCGCTTATTTCAGAATTTTTTAAAAACTTGTGCAGCAAACAGATTGTACCTTCCAGAATGCACATTACAGTACTTCTGGACCAGACAACATTTATAATTCAGTTTTTTGTATTACTTCACAATTATCAAAATATCATGTTACACAATCTCTTGGTAGTGAATTTTTCCCACTTTCTCACTGCTGACACTTTCCCTTGTTTCTAGTATAAATATCCTCTGCAGTGCTTCTAAGTATAGTGCGGATTGCATCAGACTGTACCATGTGCAGCACAGGAACAGTGAAAATCCAGGAAATATTAGTAGAAACATGAGAGACTGCTTTATTCGGCTCAACTAAAAATAGCAGCGAAATGGCACAGCCTAGTCAGGTTCTTCAGGATGAGCAATCAAAAGGCAGAGCACACGATGAAACTCACTGTGCTCTTGGATCGACAATCGACAGCTGAAAAGCTATTTTTTGCTATGGTTGACTAAATATGGTCAGGGAGGGAGCGAGACTGGAGAGCTTGGTTGCCTGGTAGTGCATGTTTCAAATGCTTAGCTGACTATAAAGCTACAGCAGTTTGGAGTTTCCTTCTGAGTGTAAAATTTACCCAGCAGCTTCGTTCGTGTGGGAGTCCTGACCTCAGTAACAGATCTGACCTCTGGAGAAGCGTAGTAGTCTCTAACAGATGTGTCTACAGTTCAGTCCATACGTAAAGCCAGAAGTGAGAAGTGACGCACTGCAGCGTCGAAGCAGAAGATCCAGCTTTCCGACTAAAGTGTCGAACCCGTCTCAACATCTTTCTGTCTCGCTCTATCTCTGCTTCTCAGCCTCTGCTAAACACCTGAACAACCTCCCTGCAGTGTTCAACTTCTGGCAGGGCAAGCTCAAGGTATTTGTTTCCCAATAATGCAGGCAGAGCTGTACAGTATTTTGTTTTAAAATAGGAAAGCTATCAGGGTTTGTGCAAATTGCCCTTTTATAAACTTTTTCTTCCAGGTAAAATCATGTTGTAATTCTACTTCAAAATCTGATACTGTACCCTTTCCCAGTTAAAGATAAGGTGATTCAGCTGATGGATTAGGTTGAATGATAACAACAGGAGTCCCTCTCAGTGTTACTTTGTTTTAACTACAAAATGCTGCATGCTTCTAACGTATTGAGCTTGATTAATTATACAGGGAGGCCTTTAATATTTTTTTTAAAAGCAATCAACTGCGTGCATGTCTCCCTCTTAAATGTACTTCCCGTTTCATTGCAGACAAGCATAAAATCTGTACAGCTGTAAATTCAATTATGAAGCGAGATTCGGGCTCAGTGCAAGATATTTAACAATCTGAAAGTCATGGGCAAAGTCAATAGTAATTGCAAACTGCAACAAAAAAACGTACTTTTCTTCTTGAATGAGTAAGCATAAGGGAGGGAAATGTCATCATAGCGTTGTCCTTATAGTTAGATTCTGAGCAACAATCATACATCAGTACTTAATTTTAAAAAGTCTATATGCATGAAATTACAGAAATGGCCAAGACAAGGACAACCCATTTTGAAGGAGCAGATTGCCTGCAAGATTTTTTTTGAAGCTGCAGTATTGTAGCGGTCCTGTCTTTGTCCTGCTATGGCTCAGAATTGTTCAGCTTCTGAACTTTTTTTCTAAAAATAATCATGTGCTACAGAAATTTAGTTTCACTGCTTATCCCTCTTTTAAATAGTCCGTGAAATATCCTGAACGTGATGCAATTGTCCAGAAGAACAAAGACATTTATGGAAATGCACTGCTGAAAAAGCATTGCACTATACTAGCATTCCCTGAGCAAGTTAATGGTTGATGGATCTCAAGTATGCCTGAACCACATATTTGAACATCAACTTCAATTTACATTTTTATGCTCTTCAGATGATAATTTGAAAAATGTACATTTTGTGCCTCCAAGGCAGTATTTACTTGTGAAATCTGAGAAAAAGGTAAAATTCATTAGTGACAAGCTGTTCATTTCACATTTATATGCAAATCTGTATTGATCTATTGAGCCTGCAATGCACTGGTGACCTCCCTCCCACCACCAAAAATAAGCAGGTGAGTGGAGAGAGAAAGTACTATTACAGAAATGCTGAATGAACGTTGGATTTCCATGCGACATCCAGCCTGCTTGCAGCCTAAATCCTACACATAATAACTATTCAATGTGATCATCATTTCAAATTTCGCCAGCACTGAATCCCTGGGATGTTTTTGAAGCACAGCATCAAGGCTATGGGAAACAAAAAAAACAGAAAAGGACTAATTTCTTTCTCAAATTGATGTCCAAAAGATCACAAAAGTTACCGTAACCCTGAACGATGTCACGGCACAAGCAGATTGTAAAAAGGGCAAAAGCAATTGTGCTCTTAATTTGCTCTTTACAAACAAAAATATGATGAGCAACGACAACGGACTACACAGGAGGAAAACAAAATGTTCGCGATAAAAGACGAATGAATTGAAAAATACTCCAGTGTGCACAAACCCAGGCCACGTCACAGATGGAACTTTCCAATGTGTTCAGTTAAATGGAACAACTGATTTGTACTAAAATGCACTCAAAGTCTGGCTGGATACGTACGACTACAGAAAAATGAACTACAACTGCTGACCTTTTATTCTGGTTTGGTGAAAATCTATCTGCTGCACCTGGATATTTTTCAGGTAATCTGTAAAGCCACTTTGGGCATGTTTTATAGTGTCATAGCAGTAATAGCTAGTACAGTAAGTGCATATGTAATAATTGTGTCAGATTAAGTTTTTCATTCAATAACAATAAAGAATGTAACCTTATTTTCTTCAGCAGGTGACCCTTATAACAAGGGGCACTGTTTTAAAACATCCATATTTCAAGACAGATGGACCTGCAACTTTCTTTCCTGCCTGGAACACATACTTCTTTATATACCCATATGAACTTAACAGCTATGGAATGTAAAGAAGTATGTATTTTTGGTGGGTATTGAACAACTAAGAAGAGCACGGGGGTATATAATGTGGCCCAAAACATACTTCTGTACAACAAAATGGAAAACAGTTTATAGCACTGCTGTTGCAGAGGCAAATTTGCTCCACATACCTTTTCAGCATATACAAGTAAACTGTTTCAAGGAATAAGACTACTAATCACTGCTTACAATAAAGGAACAACCTTCTCCTTTATCAAACCTAGTAGCCCATTTATAATCAACAAGATTATCATTTATGGCAGCTGCCTCTTTTTAATAACCAACAATTTTAAACCTCCAAATCTAAGCACTGTAGTTAAAATTACTATTAAGTACCTTAACTCAATTTCTAAATAATATAAACTTACGTTTTAAATAAAACATACAGATTACAAACAGCACTACCTCAGAGATTTGATTCTGCAATGACTAAACACAAATGTGATTTCAGGGTCAAAATTCCCAGAGAACAATTAGCACAATATGAATCAGGGAAGAGGAGAGCTTGAACCAACAGACTCCATCAGTTCTATTCTCATCATATTTGACAGACAAGATTCAAACTATATATTGAACATTCATAACAGCTGAGAATTCTGAACATGCGAGTATCTTTGGGGTAATTTGACTGGTGCTTTAACCATCAAATCATTTTGTTGTTGGGAAGGGCAAACAAAGTAGAAACAGAGGGCCCAAACCCTTAGAACTTGGTTATCTTTGCTAGTGATTGTTAGACCCCCATCTCTTCTTTTTCATTCTGAATAATGAAGATCAGAGTGCATTTACACAAAGCTTCCAGCATTCTTCTAGAGCTTGTAGATAACTGAAATACTATGAAATGCATCCAGATTTTTAAAGAGACTGCAGTGTAGTATTCAAAAGCAATCACTACCCCAGGCTTTAACATTAACTGAAATCAATTTGAAATGACATGAAGTTCTTAAAATGCAAGTCACAGCAGTTCTGGGGGACTGTAGTTCATTCAACAGGTTAGAATGTTTTGAAAATGCATGCAATATTGGCTTCATGAAATGTTGGAACAGTAACATTTGTTCACAGCTTTTGGTTCAGCTTTCAGGAATGCTATGGATTGAATGCTCCAAAACAGCAGAGAAAAGCTCTTTGCAAAGCCATTGTTCTGGAACCTTTACTCTTTTGTGTTAATTGCGTAAATTCTGCATCAATTTAGTTCATTAAAATTGTAGCCAAGTTATAAGATATTCACCAAATTAACAAGCACTGTTCTTTGGTAATATGGTAAATAAGTCCAAAAAAATTCAGATTTTTCACATTTTCATTACATGTTAAATCTCAAATTACAATTACTTAATTGTCTAATTAAGGCAATAGATAAATCGCTAAAGCTGCATTTCTTTACAGTGAAATGGCTTCTACATCAACTTTTTCCTCATTTTGAGGCAGAAAACATAATTTTATTTTCAAGGCGAAAATGCATTTCCCAGTTTATACAGCTATAGGCGATCATTATGGTTTGCAGAGCAATTAACAGGAAGTTAAATTTACATTTCCTTCCAATTGCTCTTGCCAGGGGTTGAGAAAAGAACTGTGCATGTACATCACTCAGTGCTTCAATACATTGCTTAACACCTATAATCTTTTCACATTAAATAATTGTAATAATCGTAAATGGCTGCCTCTTAAAAGTTCTTGGGACAGTCCATTGGATAAGTAATTAGTTTGAAGAGACCACATATGCTAGACCCACTCAATCAGGTAGATTTGTACTGCAGTGCTGCAATTCGATGTCTTGCTGAAAGCACCTCAAGATTGAGTGCAGCACAAACTACTGTGCTCCACAAAGTATAAAAGATTACAGGTGTTAAGCAACATAGGGAATCCAGATTTATACTGTGAATTGCACCAATTTGCACGGGGGTTAAAAAGCAGTACAATTTATAAATTCTAATTAACACCCCCAAAATGCATCGGAAAGAATAATTGTAATGCAGCTCCAAAAGTAGACATAGCTTGTTTTACAACAAATCAAGCAGCTGTACCAAATAGAAAGTATATAGCTTGTTCATGATACTACCCTATTGAGGTTTTTCAAAGCTATTCACTGACAAACGTACACTAACCCTTGCTGAATATTTCAAACTGTTTGAAGCTCAATTAACTAAAAATGCAAATTCAGGTGCTTCTGTCCTCCCCACTCCTTTTTTGAACCGACAATGCAGACTTTTCTGGGCCATGTTTACCAGCCAGATGATTTTGATTGTTCACAACTTCACAAATGAAAAACAAAAGGCGAGAGCATCTATTGTGTATAACAACTGTTCCTTTCTCTTAACTGACCCATTTGAATAAAATGTTAAAACCAACAAAGTAGCCAACTAAAAAGCAAAATGCTGAAATCGAAACTATGTTCCTTAAAAACAGTTCCAAAACAAATGATTGCTTAATACTTGCAATACTGACCTGCAGAACACAACTCTGTAATCACACATAAGGCCTGCAATGCACGAAGCTATTGTTAAACAAGATTTCCATCACTGGCTGGCTAGCTTCTCTTAAACATTTAGTGCATAAACACATTTGTTTAGTCAAAAAACCTGAGTAAACAAAGCAATATTATTTCACTACTTAGGTATACAGTGAGAATTAACTGTGGGAATTTAATAACTGCTAAATTAAATATGCTAAACAATGGAGGAAAACACTTTAGCACAATATAAAGGTTCGGAAATTCCTGCAACTGTTTTTTTTAAGAAACATAACAGAACATATGCAAAATAATTAGAAGCAAAGAATAGACTTCAATTATAAATATCTCCCAGATTTTATTCTCTTGATGGCAAATCAATTTTAGCTGTTTATCGGAACTTTGCTGAAAATGCTGAATTGCTCAAGACCATCTATAAAGCTTCATGATAACAAAAGTCCAACTTATAAATGTAATCAATTTACAAATATTGTGCTTCCAATCTGAAGCCAATAAACGTTTGCTTAAATTAAATCATGTTCAGCCTAGCTCAGTTGGTAGCACTTTTGGCTCAGTCAAAAGGTTGTAGGTTCAAGTGAATTATTGTGACTTAGATTTTCTGTAGTTAACTCTGTTAAGACTGCAGGAGCAGCCTGAATTATTTCAAATTTTGATCAAAAAGCTGCAAAGCAAAAAAGCAACATTTTACTCCATTACAAACGTTTCAGAAACTGCAAGTTACAAATACTATAAGGAATGATTTTTGAGGAATGCAAGTTCTCAAAGTGTTAAGACCAGGGTTCTGAACTCAATGCCAATTTCTTGAAATATAGCTACAAAGATTCACTTTTTTAAAAATGGGTTTCAGAAATTGTATATGGAATATCATGGATTTGTGAATGACAGTAGATGTTTTCTTTATGGGCCAAATGCTTCTTTAATAGGATTTCAACAATGAAATTCAACTTCCCAGTACGTAAAATGTCACATCCATCAATCTGACCAGCTGTTCATTCAACTGATAAAACAGAAGGCTGAGCATTTGCTGACACCATTGTAACTCAAAGATTTCAGATGTCTGACTGACATGGCGAACAGATGTTGACATTATGAAGTACTACACTGCACGTTCCAACACTTCTTCATGCCCAGATATGGCAATTACATGAAAGCACACTGCTCTCCAAACAGGCACCAAAAGAAGTCCAAGCTGTAAAAGAACACTACCACAACAGATATAAATAGCATCAATTTACAGCTGACACAGTTACCACAGTCCCAGCTACATAGCACCTTAATCAACTGGCACCAACAGCAAGGTAACAGACACTGGATTAAAACATTTTATGTTTCATAAAGCTGTGATTTACCAACAGAATGAGCATATCAATAGGATACTGTGACCCATGTAATGCTTTTATTTATTCATTAAAATCATTTCAACAGTCAAATGAACACAACACATAAACGAGCCAGCAAGGAAAAGACTGTTTAAAAACTGCAGCACATCATTATATGGAACATTCAACTTTTGATTACATAGCAAAAAGGTTATAGACTCATCTCAGTTATACTTGTGTGATATTTGACAAGATATTTAGAACAGTTTTGTTACTGATTATATTAATAATAATCCTTGCATTTGATATCGTGCCTTATCACGTCTTCGAGACGTTTCAAAGCACTCCACAGAATACACTGACTGTTTTGTGGGTGAAATATTAAAGGAAAAAATCATAGATCCAGAGCAGGTCCAGAGGCACATCCAAATGTAAACACCCCAAAATGAAATATCCTTTGATATTTGGAATTTTAAACGTTTTTAAACTAAATGTGCATTTTGAATTTTCCATTAAAGATCTTGTAAGTACTTGTAAAAAATGTAGAAGGCAAAATAAGCTGCAGCCCATGTGTTGTCTCAAAGACATTTTTGTCCCCACCCGTTCAATTGACTTCTTAGCAGTCCAATGCTTTGCTGAAGCTGGTAAAATGGAACCAAATCAACTCTTCAATGGATTTGGTCCCCTTCAACCAGCTGTAGCTATGCATTGACCACAACCAGAATCAACATTCATAATCACTGGTACTTTATATATTTACAACTCTAGAAATCTGGGATAACAATTGTATTAGAATATGTAAGGTAGTTTTGAATTTTCCAGTTTACTGTTTTTTTTAAGCACTATAATCGTCTATATGTCTGATAATACCGAAAGTAAAATACAAAGTACTGTATAATACACAATACTAAATTGCAACTGTAGTTATTGTAACTAAAAATAGTGATACAAGATTGTATTACTGGTATGTTGTATAAAGAATCTGTTGTATCTCATTAAAGAAATATGGTCTAAATCTGACATCTATATTATAAGTTTTTAAAGTCCACTCATTATAAGCTACATATCACCACCAACAAAGTACATAATCTATGAATCCTGACAGTGCTTCTGCAGGGCCAGAATCCGAAAGAAGATAGCAATGTCATCTCCCTTGACAACACACAGAATGATTGAAAGATAAGAATGTATAAGGAATGCGATCGCAAACATATCTGACTGCATTCACAAACAAATACTGGATCATTTCTGGAAGAGGGTTCCTCCCCCTCACCCCCACGCCAAGCAGAGGGATTTTAGACACTTCTACAAATGACCCTTGAAGCTGTAACTAAAATGATTAAAAAGGAGTTGAATAAGTCTTTGAAACAAGATAAAATTATTCAGGGAAAAAGCAAAGTATTGTGAATAAGAGTAGAATCATAGAACTATGCAGCACAGAAGGAGGCCATTCGGCCCATCATGTCTGTTCCGGCTCTTTGAAAAGTAGATGACTCCGGAGGAGGAATTAGAACTAACGTAGGCTAAATAAGCCGAACAATAACAACAACAACATTTGTAAAGCGCCTTTCACATCGGGAGATCGTCCCAACAACCTCCTTCTGTGCAAGAATTTCTGATTCTGCATATTACATAACTAAGATCCATCTCTTTTATCAAATAACCTCACATTTTGGTTAAAAGTAAATTGTTTGATGTAGTTCCAGCTCAAGGACTTTTTACTTAAACAAAATTATAACATTTGAACCTGGTCTAAATGTCTATAAGCGAATCTCAAAGATAGCAAAACTTTTCATTGTGCCTGTATATACAAGATTTCCATTAAAAACATACAATGAAGATGGGTAAATCTAGCAATCCAAGTAATTATGACCCTATTTTGGGTGTTGTCTAATGAATATCACCAGATATTCAAAGAAAATATCCAACAACAATTATCGATTTAAAAAATTATATAGGCTCAATGAAATGCTGACAGATCATCTCTAAAGAGACTAAATTTAATAAGTTGTATTTTTCAGATCATACAAGTTTTAGTTAATAAGCCTTCCTCAAACTCAAAAAATACATATACCTACATTCATATTTTTACATCAGAATGAAATCAAATTGAGATAATTGCATCAAAAACTTATAATTTTCCTTCTAAATAATACATAGCACTTAAAGAATTGAAGGTCATAATGGATTTACTATTTTAAGCTAATGGGTAACCCAAGCAATAAAAAGGCTACAGCAATTTAGACAGCAACACAAAATGTATTCCCATACATCTGTTAGTGGTTCTGCAGCGATACCCTTGAACATGCTTTTATCACCTTCATAGATGTACTGTCACAGACATCTGCAATGCAGTTACAGCTACTGAGTGACAAAAGTTGAACAGTTACTGAGAAACTGAAGAAAGCTTTAAATTCAGGGAACAATTCCAAGCAGTGAAAACAGTAGCCTTACTCGAGATTTAATAATGGTTTAACAAAATATCAATTTAAGTTTTCCATAACTGTACAGAAGCTAAGTAAATGTTTCCACTATATTTACACAGAGGCCAGATTTCTTTATTATGAAAGCAATACGATTTGAGTGTATCAATAGCATTTATAATGATTGTACCAACATGAAATTGGCAGAATGGGAAAAGATAGGGAAGGTGAAAAAAAGGAACATCGCAGGAGCCCAGATGGTGTAAAGAAGAGCTGCTGCTCAAATTGTTTGGATCCCAATCCGTGCTGAGTTTGCTGGTCTCAACCAGGGCTGGATGGTGGTGGTGGGGGGAGGCGTTGAAAGAGATAAAATTGATCCCAGCCTTGGAGAGGGGAACACCAGCCAGAGTTCCTGCATCAAGTCTCTCCACAACACCCTCTATTGGCTGTACGCATGTGGCAGCCAAATGAAAAGAGGTCAGGCTTGCTGCAATGCCCTCTATAGTCAACTTGTCTAGCGACACCCTCTACAGTCAAGCGGAACCACATCCCATCAAGAGAGCGGAACCACATCCCATACAATTTGGGAGGAAATTAGGAAAATCGGATATTAAATTTATACAAACATTTTTTACAAAGAGAAAGAACTTCAATCCATACATTGCGCGCCTACAAACACATACACTAAAAACGGGGAATTGTTTGTTTGCAATGTAAGTGAAATCAAATTCTACATCCAAGGAAATGGAAAATTAACATGTGTCAATACACCCAATACTAATTTTCTGAGAATAGTAGAGAATAAACAACAGGAACTAGCAAAACACATTCAGATTTCACAGGCGATTAGTACTTATAACCAACAAGTGACTAAATTCCAAATCAGCTGGGGAAAACACTTAATCCCAGAAAAATGTAAAAAAAAATTAAGTTTTTCTGTGCTCATCAACATGAAAGATATTAAAACTGAGAAAAATTAACACATTCCTGGGACGGGCACCCAGTGAACTCTCAGAGTACTCTCAGAGCAAACCTCCATCTTATCTTGACTAAAAATACATTTCAGACGAGCATACACTAAACACACCAGTTATATTTTGTGTATCAGCCATCCTGTGGCTCTTCTACATGAAATTATCTACCTATGCTGTGAATGCATACCTACAACAAAATGGATTGAGAATGCCCATATTGTTAACATAGACAAAGGAGAATTTTATGCCACAAATTGGTCTGGATTCAAACCCAGATCCCTGTGGCGAGAGGTCAGTTTCTAACGCACTGACCTTCCCTCCTTCTCTTCCCACATTTACAAGTTTGAAGTATGAATCTATATACAGATATTAAATACTTAAAACAGCTCTGGTGCTTTATGCCATAGGGAAATTAACATGACATCAGAACACAATGCAGCAATGCAAAGAAAGTACAATTATTGTTGGCAGTAAGCTATTTAGTTTAAATTTCATTAAAAATGATTCTTTACTCATAGTAGAAGTCAATATAATCCATGCACATGAAGAGAGAAAAAAGTCAGCTAATACAAATGATGCATAAATAATTACTATGCCAACAACCAGATTCCACGCATACAGTGCAGCTGGCTATGGGTGCAAAGGGAATTACAGCTTTGATGAAAATGTCACACATGGCACATTTTTTTTTGGAGCTATCCTGTAAACCCAACATGAAGGTAGACCTTTTCTGGAGTGATACCACTTCCCTGACACACACAGGGAATACAACAATTGGATTGAATCTTTGGGATGTCAAATTTAACAGCAGCACACAATACTCAGGTCACTCTTCATCATCTGCACGTTTCACTCGCAAAATATACAGTCAATTCACTTTACAGTATATTCTGTGAAGCGTTTTGAGATGTCTAGAAGACGTGATAAAGCACTATAGCAAATGCAAGGATGATTATAACAAGGTGTTACTGTATGTTGTGATATGATACAAGCATAACAATCATACGGTCTAGCTCGTCAAATTGATACCCAAACAGTTTGGATTATTGCAAATTCAAGTGGTGCAGCACCATTAACAGCTTGCGCTAATAACAATAATAATCCTTGCATTTCATATAATGCCTTATCACATCTGAGATGTCTCAAATCACTTCACAGGATATAATGTGAAGTGAATTGACTGTATATATTGTGGGCGATAACCCGAAACCAACACCTCCTGTAACCATGGCTAGAATCTGTAACAGAACCAGAGTACTCATCCCATAAGAAAGGCATAAATCCTGGAACTAGGGATTAAACGCACATATTGTTTACATATCCACAATGGGACTCATCCAAATTACTTCAAATGACAAGCTCTCAAGTATACCTACAAGTTGTGCACCTATATATGTTACCAATAATGACATCCTGAAAATATCTTAGAATGACCACAACTGTGACTTGATAAGATTTAAAGATGTGGAAAAGAGGTGGGGGAGATGGCGATAAGCACTTCAGCTATTTTGCTTAATATAAGGAAATTAAAGTTTATCAGTCACTTGGCAAGCTTGTCAACACCATTTCTAGATTTCAATGTCAATTTTGCACAGTATCAGTTAGTTTAATCAATTCTGCATTTAGTGTCTGCCAACTAATTTGGCACACTGTGTCAGTCAGTAGAGCATCCCACTATCGATTTACAATTGTGTACTACTAATTTATGCAAAAAGCTTTCTCACGTGCAAAGCAAAAGGTACGTTCCACTTTTAGTAAGTTCCAATATTTCTGACACAAACATGACTTCGCAGGCAGATTTATAGCTTTACAGGTAGGAATAATTCTTATTCCATTCCTAGTGCAAGCAATAAAGTAGGAGTAGCCCATATTAAGTTGAAGCACCTGAATATATTGGAGTCCTCTGTCCTAAATTTGACACATTTATGTTCACTTCCATCATAGTTGTGATGATCCAAACGTCAGGATTGCCAAAAGGCTTCAGAGGCTTCAGACTTTGTTGCCTCAGGTTTTTTTTATCCTGATTGAATCAACCATATTTATAATAATATAATAATCCTTGCATTTGATATAGCGCTTTTCACGTCTGGAGGACGTCCCAAAGCGCTTCACAGAACACACTGTAAAGTGAATTGACTGCATATTTGTGGGCGAACGCGGCAGCCAATTGCGCACAGCAATGTCTCACAAACAGTCGTAGATTGAAAATGACCAATTTAATTATTGTTTTTAGTTTTGGAGGGATTATTATTAGGTGTGTGGAGTAAGGAAACTTGCCCAAGGTTTCGCCCCGCCTGGAATTGAACTCAGGTCTCTCGCTTGCAAAGCGACTGCTCTAACCACTGAGCTACAGGACTCCACAATATTTGGCACCTAGCCTAATTATTCTATTAAAATGAAAGAACTCAAATTTATAGAAGTTAATAAATATCTTACTTTTGTTTTAACTATGTCTATTAGTACATATTTTCATCCATAATACATCTTTAATAGTGTAAAGGGCATTTTAAGTTATATTAATTTATCTTTGATATACAAAGGTGCAACAGAAGCTTACCCTGCACAACTATTCAAACTCTAGACTTTTCATTCTGCCGAAATATTAAAAGATTGACTTCTTGAAACTGTCCAGTTCAATATGGCTAGAAATCTCTACATGAATGCCTGCATAAACTAGGCTCACCGGTTTATAATTAAAGATACAGAATTCATAAATACAGTGAGGGAACAAAGCAAAATACAATAGATACTTTTAACATCAAAGTTTGATATTTGGTTTACTGTTCATATTTGGATAATTACTAAAAGTAAATGAACAATTATTTTTTAAAAAGAGTCAGTCTTTCACGGATGGGAAAATAATCCTTTTACTATACAATTTAAATGAACCATTTGGTATTATGAATGCTTTCGCCATCATTTTGCAATCCCAGAGAGGTAAATTAAAATTGGACTCTGTCAAAATGGGTAGAGATTTAAAACTGAAACTACAGCAAAATATTTCTTTCACTAGATACTGCAGAAAACTTGTGAAAACTGGTGCAATCCATTACTTCAAGCATCACCCAATTATTTAAATATATTAATAATTTACCATAATAAAATCACTAACATAAAATAAAAAAATTATGCCTTAAAATTTGATTTGCTGAGAAACTTTCCTCAGTAGGTACAAGTCTTTTCGATCTAAATATTGCTAAGTAAATATATGGGGACGACTCCATGTGAGAAGCCCATACGTTTTGATTGCTAACATTTTAGACTTTAGCTCAAGAAACGGAAGATAAGGTAGTTGAATGATCTTTTTGGTTTTCAATTAATCTATTTTTAACAATGGAATATGTCCTCTACCAAGTACCAACTTTATATGTCTCCCTGTACAAAAAAATAAAATGGATACGAGTACAGAACAATGGCAGGATTAATATTAATTGTCCATCTTGAACTACCATATTGGACCATCAAGTCTAATCAATGAGCAAGACAACCTGGCCAACAATCAGCAATGCCGAGGATTACTACACTTGCCTGATGTCTCCTTGGATGTTGCTCAATCCCAGAGGGAACTCACGTACTTCCCTCAGGCAATGGAACACTGTAGCTTACACATCACACTATGAAATAGATTTCCCAGTGGATAACTTTAGGGTGCAGCAACCAGAAAATGGGCATAAAGGCTTGTGTAAAACCAAATTCAGATCGCACACCAGCACCTTTGTTTGTTTCATTAAGAATTAGTTTTTCACATTCATTTCACAAACCTCAAAACAAGTAAATCTTTGTAAAAGGAACCCCTCAGTTATAATACAGAAATAGCAGTAACACCACTTAATGCCACAATGATTAAAATTAGCTGCACTGTCTACAAATAGTGTAGTGACATCTCTGCCGACCTTACAACCAGGAAGCTGGACATTTTTATAGTTCAAAACAATAAAGTGTGAGAGAGAAAAAACAATTCAACTGGGAAATCATGACAAAAATTGGAAAACCTGAATAATAATAATAATAATCCTTGCATTTGATATAGCACTTTTCACGTCGGGAGGACGTCCCAAAGCGCTTCACAGAACACACTGTAAAGTGAATTGACTGTATATTTGTGGGCGAACGCGGCAGCCAATTGCGCACAGCAATGTCCCACAAACAGTCGTAGATTGAAAATGACCAATTTATTATTGTTTTGGGTTTTTGGAGGGATTATTATTAGGTGTGTGGAGTAAGGAAACTTGCCCAAGGTTTCGCCCTGCCTGGAATTGAACTCAGGTCTCTCGCTTGCAAAGCGAGTACTCTAACCACTGAGCTACAGGGTTTTTTTTAAAACGAATTTCAATTGGAAACCAACAAGCCTGTTTAATAAGTAAAAAGGAACAATCAAATTTACTTAACAGACAAGTTGTCAGGTAGATGGCTACTGTTGAATACCACTGTTGGTGGTCCAAAAGAGGTATAAAAAAAATCCAGTGTCTGGGGCTGTCATAGGACAGACAGTCCAAAATTCTACTACTGTACATAAAAGCAGTGCCTCCAACAAAAGGCAAGTTTGAACATGACCCAATGAGACAACGGCACAGTGGAAGACGTTATGTGGAGTGACAATAAACTGATAAAAAAGTTTAACTCTTTTCAAAGTTTATAATAATACTTCAATGTTATCATGAAAGGATACAATTATCCGGTTTTGCAAAACAATCCCTTTGACACATAGTGCAATATATCAAACTAAAACAGGTATCTCCCAACATTGCAATATGTCAAAAATTACAAGTCTCTATGGCTTACATTTAATTCGATTTTACTTCAGCACCACTGGGTTCATATTAGCAACAACAACCCTACAGAGCAGCGAGAGCGACAACATACATTGCTATTTCTATGGTTTGGTGTATGACAAGAACTAGGATTTCAGACGATTTCAGGTGTTGTTGTTATCAGTCCAAGAATTATATTAATCGACTGAAATGAAATTAAATTTAAAAAAATCCTTAAAAGGTTTTCAAAACCTATGAAATCACCGAGACATAAAAGTCTCAATACGTTGGAGTTTTAAGCCATGATCTTTAAGCAGGCCATGAAACATATTCACAATCACATATGTTGAAAAAGAGCCATACCTGGGGTTTCCTCTCAGTGCAGCGTGATGAAGAGCATTAAAACCATTGTTGTTGGTGATCGTTACATCAGCACCAGATTCCAATAGCACAGAGAGCATATCATCCCGCTTTTTGCTTATTGCATCATGAAGAGGTGTATCACCTTCCGAATCCTGCAAGCATTGCAAGAAACAGAACGGTTTAAGGTGGTTACAATGTAAAGCATGTGACCTGATGAAAGTTACCACAGCCGTTTGGAAATTTGTTAAAATTAATTTCAAACCTGAAGTTTAAGCCATCTCAAAGAACACTTTCAAAACTGCACTCAACTGCACTGAAGGTACTCAGAAAGTTAAATTAGTATGCACAACTATTTAGCAAAAATATGATCAATGACTTTTCCTTCTGCATAATCTGTATTTTTCATGGCTCATTTAGATTCTCTAAATTCATGCTCAGAAGTTTTTGGACAAAACTAAATGGGCCAGATAAATTAGATAAATTAACTTTCACCTTCTTTAATAATGGACTAGACAAGCACAATCCATTATGACTGCATGAAAATACAGGGCTGCAAACCATGTGTTGGAGACGTTGTGCAAAAAAAAGGTTCTGTAGTAATTTAGCGAAAGCGAAACAGCACTGAACCTCGGATAATAGTATTTTGCCTTGGAAAAAATATGAAAGCTTTTGATTTTCAGTGAACCTCAAAATGTTCCACCACAGAGGTTCTTAATTCTAGACATTCTTAACATGATGCAACATCAGTGGTGAAGATCTTGTATGATAAAAAAAATCAGTAACTTGCAGTGCTCAAAGAAACCCATTACTCAAAGAAAAAATATTGAATAAAGGAACATCTTCAAAATGTGATGCATGCTTGGGTTGCAGAATTACTTTTTATATTGTTAAATTGTAAATAGTACAATAAAAATTAAAAAAATAATGCACCCCTGCTTTGTTTGAAAAACAACATTATTTTTGATTGCAGTCAAACGCGACTGGGATATTAGTGAATTACAGAATTAACATGCATCAAATTTGTTCTTCCATAAAGCAATAATATTCCAACAATTATTCATTCTATTATTAAAATATCATGATAACCCGTTGTTAGTGCTGAGGAACAAACTGTTGTGGGGAAAGAAAGCCATCTCCAGGTCTTTCTCACAAAGTTGATTCAGGCCATCTACCATAGGTGGAAACCTGGGAGCCCTACAGATAAGCAGTCAGAATGCTGAGCAAATTTAATAAATGGTATTTATGCCCCAGTTTGTGTTGACCTGATGCTATTTTTCCATTGAAATGTTGATAACAGTACAGTATAAAACAGGATTTAGAGGGCGCAATTCAATACAGCTTATATTGCAATGAATTTCAAAATTACTTTTAAACTTTAATAATTAAATTGAAAGGTTCCTGGGCAGTCTGTTTGATAAGGGTGAGCAGCTCTGCAACTCACTCTGATAATCTAAATGGGGGATAATTAAACTCATATCTTCTATAGATCTATCCATCAGGAGTTAAATAATAATAATAATCCTTGCATTTGATATAGCGCTTTTCACGTCGGGAGGACGTCCCAAAGCGCTTCACAGAACACACTGTAAAGTGAATTGACTGTATATTTGTGGGCGAACGCGGCAGCCAATTGCGCACAGCAATGTCCCACAAACAGTCGTAGATTGAAAATGACCAATTTAATTATTGTTTTTTTTTTTTGGAGGGATTATTATTAGGCGTGTGGAGTAAAGAAACTTGCCCAAGGTTTCGCCCTGCCTGGAATTGAACGCAGGTCTCTCACTTGCAAAGCGAGTGCTCTAACCACTGAGCTACAGGACTCCACGAGTTGTGTCTGGACTGGAAAGAAAGAGAACAAATAGGGATTTGGCTTGGATCCCACATGTCTATCTGTCCATTTAAACATTAACTTGCCACATTACTTAAGGTTTAGTTGAAAACACTACTTCATGTTTCCAAAGAGCATTTTTCAAGTACAGGAGCCTGAAATAATAGTACGGGGTGAACAGCTCACTATTTTTTTCTCGAAAAGTCAACCAAGATTTCAGAACCATTCTTTTCTCCTCTTATCCCTCAAATATTTCTTAAAAGGTGATACTCAATTCCTTCACTTTTAATCTTCTCTGATTAACACATCACCTTGACTTTATGCCGTATCTCTAATTATGTGGCCAAACTGAAGGCATTTTTAACCTTTTGAGTATTAATATGGTTTTCTCTAGTTTCAATGTACATGCTTTTGTTAAACAGATTGACATAATTCTCTGAAGCAGTTTGAGCAGTGCACGAAACCAACAATGATTAATTCATAGTATTCAAAGAAATTGAAAATTATAATCTATTTTACTTATAGTGCTAAAATGCTATTGCAGGGAAATTCGTTCCTTAGATATCTTGACAATAAAATTCCAATGAAGACTTTTAACTTTGATCAACTGGTGAAAGTTGTTGCAGATGGAATCCTCCAGTTAACATAAGTATGCAAGATCTTATTAACAGCAGCTTCTTTACATCATGCAATTTAAGCAAGTAATTAGAGCGTGAAAAACTGAAAATTGAAGACTGCACCCCACATTCAGAAATATATTTGTGAACTGAGAATTGAGTTTCCTGATAAAGTAAAACTATAACAATAATGTTATATTGATCAAGGCATCAGGAGTATAGATCAAAGCAACATCAGTTAGTGCCTGATTGATGACTTAGAATTTGGACTATTTCTTTCAGCTAAAGCTAAAATAGCCAACATCCGGGTGATTACGTCACCACCAACATCATCACTTCCTGCTTTGCACATTCGCAGCAGTGCACTGTATTTAGGACCAAGTTTAATGATAGCTTGCCAAGGTCTTATTATCATCATTAAGACAGGTGGACGAAAGGAATGACATTCCCTTTAATTCAAAGATTTGTGTTCCAGAATCAATTTCTTACCTGAAGACTGGGATGGCACCCAAGATCCAGCAAAGTCTTAACAACTTGCAAATGTCCCTTATTTACGGCAATGTGCAATGGAGTCTGCCTGCGTTTGTTACGAGCATTCAGATCGGCTCCTCCTCTGTGTAAAACATCAATAACAGACCCTTCATCTCCAAATGATGCATGGTGAACAGCTCTGTCGCCATCTTTATCCTTTAACAAAAGAGATTATAAAATGCTCAAGGTTGTGAAACCCATTAAAAACTTGCATTTCAATTTCTTTCCTACATCTGAACCACACATCATCCAATGACCAATGCAGCCAAGCAGAAACATAACTTTTATGTTTATAAGATTCTAATTTCAATTTGACATTGCCATTCACCATTCCTGAGAAGTTAATCCAAAGTCCCATCTGGGAAATAAAGATGTTAAAGATCCCATTGCACAATTCAAAAAAAGTTTCTCCCGATGTCCAAGCCAACCATCCCCCAGATAAAATTGATCAGTCACTTCATTGTTGTTTGTGGACAGTGTTGCGAACAAATTGTTTGCTGTGTTAGTCAACAAATACATAGTCACTATACTTTATAGAAACTTGATGAAGTGCGTTGAGACATACATAAGTGGTAGGATATTAAATGCAACATTTATCAGAAATGAACTGTAGTTTTACTTTTATTGGGGAATCTTTGGTTAAATCACGCATATGATTATTTATTTATTTATTATACAACCCAATATTTCTTCATTTTGAGGGCTTAGCCTACAACTGCTCTCAGGCTAAATTATACATTAAAACAAGACAGAGACCTCTCAGACATAACTCTGCTTCTTCTCTTTCCTCCTCCCAGTTAGGAAATCCCACAGCCTCTGCGTAGAGAACTCAAATCTAAGCCCGTTCAATAGTACCTCGCCAGTCTAATGCAATTAAATTATGCATTTTTTTAAGCATGTGAAATATAATGACCTCGCCAATGCAATTACAAAATAAATTGCATAACAGATGAGTTAGCCATTTAGATTTGACAGACTATTTTGACAAAGACTGCTGAACATCAGTAGCAGAAGCCACTAACAGCAGCAGATTCCATTTCATATATTGTAGAAGGGTGATGCAATCAAAGTAAATAAGTAAACGCACACAATTGTATGGAAGTGGTAGAATATTGTCAAGTTTGATTTTTAGGGTTGAGGTAATCCATAATGTATTTAGTTAGGTATATTACTCAAAGGTACAGTAAGTTGTTCCTGAAATGAGGTTCCTCTCCACATTCCATGGTTAATGATCCAAAGGCAGCAAATCTCAAAAGACAGCGATTATGCCTATCCCCTCAGATCTCATCAGTTCTTTTCTACTAGCAGAAGAAAGATTATAACATGCTTACACATGATTAATAATAAAAACAACCTTTTGTTTCTTTTGAGATTTTACCACCTGTCAAACTATTCTTATGTGCAATTATATTAGGCTCTGTATACATTTTCAAAACCAGTACTGATCATTTTTGCAAGAAATATATCTGAAGATTTACAGTAACCTTAATTACATATGGAAAAGAAGGAAATAAAAGTGAAGCTTCAATTCATCGTGAATCAAGACCAAAGTTAAAAGGTTATAATAAGTTTTTCGACTAGAACTGATTGCAAATAAAATATCTTAGTTATTTTTATTGATTAAACCATCCTCTCACTGCCACCAAAAAGTATTACTTCTATAAATCTGAAAACTAAAAGTGAATACCTCAAACATACTATAAAAATACTGATATATTGAACATTTTTACATTTAATTATAGATATTCCTGATAGTTGAATAGTTACTCAAATATCGGTGTCAGTGTAAACCTAAAATAGTTTTAAGTATCAGGTAAGGTGAATAACTTTCTAAGAATATGCAAATATAAAAAGAAACATCACATCAATAAAATCACCTATGAACAATTAAATAAAGCTGCATAATGTACTATACGCAAATCACGTGTACAGAGGAACACACAGAATATCTAATTTTGTAATTTACCAATTAAAAACTAGTTATGTAACAACAACCATTACACAATTCTGTGCTGCCTTCTAAACACTAATAGTGAAACCCAGTTATAACATGGAATCTATGAGTGGAGATGTAATCAAATTTTACAACTAAAATTATTCTACCTTTTATCAACACTAATTTATAAAGATGTGCAGAAACCAAGATTTGTTTAAGCTGCAATGCATCCTTCTGCCATTCAAGCTGAACCTTTATTCAATTCCACTAATTCAATTAACCTTCAAAGCTTTTGGAGCAATATTGCAATGTGTTAAAGGCTTCTTTGTATTTTTAATGATCCGTTTTAGGAACATGGAAGTGATTTGCCATTGGTCAATAAATTAAAATGAGTTTATAACAGAAACATTTTCCTTAGAGATTGATTTTCAGAAACATGTCTAGAGGAAAAAAGGGGCTGTGCTTTTAGTAATAAAGTCTTCGGCTACATGTTTGTATTTGATTAAAAACAGAAAGCATTCAGAACACTCCTTTCAGTCCTGCTGACCTGGAGGAATTCAATGAAAACTGCAAAATACTAGGAAAAGAAATTGGCTGCTATCCATTGATTTGATCCGAGAGAAGCCCGCAAGCTTTTCAAACTAGTCTTCTAGACAATCGTGCTAAAATAGCATTGCACTTTGCATTACAATTCTTAAGACTTGGAAGATTAATTCTAAAAAGAAAATACATGATCTTGTTTACACCAAAGGTAAGAATGTGTTGTAGTAAAGTTCAAAGGACAACTTTTTGAAATTGTAAGATATTTACAACGAATTCTGCATTTCTCAACATAAACACGATTCCTTACATTCAACCACCAAGATGTGCTATTAAAATATTATACAATACCACAAATCACATTAAAAAGGAAGACTTCACACTTTAAAACAGAAACACTTCCGACAAAATGGAATTATTTCCACTGGCGGATGGATCAGTAACCCCAGGGCACTGATTTAAAATAGCTGTTAAAAGAAAGAGGGGAGAGAGATGAGAAGAAATGTGTTCACACAGCGAGTTGTTCGGATCTGGAAGGCATTGCCTGAAAGGGTGGTGGAAGCCAATTCAAAACAACTTTTAAGAGAGTAGATGATTATTTGGGGAGGGCAAGTTTGCAGGGCTATGAGGAAAGCGCGGGGGAGTGGAATTGATTTGGATAGCTCTTTTAAACAGCTGGAAAAGACACGATGGGCCGAATGGCCTCCTTCTGTGCTGTATAATCCTATGAAATGCAGATGCTTTTCAATGTTAAGTTAAAAAACAATGCTTTGTTAAAAAATGACAAATCATTAAGCACTAAAAAGACCAACAAAATACTATAACTTTTGATGCATCAATACAAGAAGTCTTGTAATATTGAATTATTAATGTATTATCTTTATATGACTGCCCCAGGAGAACAAATAAATATAGCCCCATGACAATTTATTCCATTATGGCAATGTGGGGTAATACTGCTGAATCTGAACTTCTGCACTCAATCCACGTTGCTTCAGTAATACCTAAGTGCCTGTTACAAACATTCAGCTCAGCAGTTGACAGTAATGTTTTGGAGCTCTGTGCTGGAGCTCTGTGCTGTGAAGAGCTGATCATTAACAGGCAAGAGCTTGAGTAGTGTTTGGAATCAGTAATAAGGAGTTTTAAATTAAACTGTGTTCCACAAATGTAAATGTATTTTTTAAAGGAAAAGTATGAAGTTTCTGTTTACTCTGAAGAAATTTTCTTTAAATGGAGATAATTATTTCAATACAAAAAAAGTTACCATGTCTCAAAAGGCACTTTGTAAACACAGACCCATTTTCAACAACTGAAAATATACCAGAGCACATTGCAAAGTGCTCCGTGTAGTTGCTCTCTTTCTCCCCCCACACTATGAAACAAAATATGATTTGCTGTTGGTCAGTAAATTAAAATGAATTCATAATAGAAACATTTTCCTTAGAGATTGATTTAAGAAATCTCTAAGAAATTAGTGAATACCTCAAGTAAATACCTCAAACTTACTTTCACCTTTCCCCCCAACCCCACCCCACAATATGAAGCAAACTATGATTGACTTTACACTTAATAGGAGCAATGAAAATTTCTGGACCAGTACTGCACTCTCTCAATTAGGCACATCTCTTAGGGAAAGATCGAAAATGAAGAATCATCTTCTACCAGGAATGTGCTGCTCTTACTGTAAAGTGCACATTTTGATGTATCAAGGATTCCAGCAGCATTTTTAAAGCAGTTGTGCAACCTCTGAAGGCATTCACACCAAATACTAAAATGGGTCTTCAGAGAGCCTGTCAGCATGTTTTTCAGGATGGGCAAACTGACGGCCAAGAGGACAGCAAAGAAAACACAACCAAAAGTCTAAGGCCACAAAATAAAGGTTCTGATTCAGAAACAACTGTAAATTTCTTAGTTTACATAGTTTTTTGCCTTGGTGCTGTGGACTCCAGCTTACACTACAAAAAGTGGAATTCATGGCACTGGCAGTTTCAGTCTGATCCACCTTTTCCATCTAGAACCCGGAACAGGTTACATTTTACAATAATGCATCACAATTTCCGACAACACAAGTTGGCTTCTGACATTAAATTGTCAACTACTAATACAAGGTCTTTTTCACCTTTTTATGAACAATTTTCTTTTGAGCCTTTCAGAAAGTGAATCCAATCCCAACTTTATGGACTGGTATTAAATTCATGACAGTTATTAGATATTAATAATAATTTTGCAATAGAACTAAACACATTCTGAGTGAATAAGATTATTAAACATTTAAATTTTCTGCAGCTTCCTGGCAAAAATCTCCAAGATAAATAACTACATTTCATCATCTGACATTACCTGATGAGATAGGAAATTCAGTTTACCATATGTAATGGTATGGCATAGCTCTTTTTGATGTACATAAATGACCTTGACTTGGGGATAAGGAGTACAATTTCCAAGTTTGCATATGGTACAAAGCTAGGAAAAGTAGTAAATGGTGAAGAGGATAGTAGCAGACTGCAAGAGGACATAGACAGACTGGTGAAATGGACAGACACATGGCAGATTAAATTTAATGCAGAGAAATGCAAAGTGATGCATTTTTGGAGGAAGACTGAGGAGTGGCAATATAAGCTTGATGGTACAATCTTAGAGGATGCCGGAACCGAGAGTCCATATAAGCAAATTGTTGAAGGTGGCAGGACAGGTAGATAAAAGTTGTGAGAAAAGCATACGGGTTACTCGGCTTTATAAATAGGGGCATAATATACAAAAGGAGGTTATGATGAACCTTTATAAAATAATGGTTTGGTCTCAGCTAGAGTACTGTGTTCAGTTCTGGGCTCCACACTTAAGGAAGGATGTCAAGGCCTTGGAGAGGGAGCAAAGGAGATTTACCAGGATGGTTCCAGGAATGAGGGACTTCAGTTATCAGGAGAGGCTAGAGAAGCTAGGGTTATTCTCCTTGAAGTAGAGAAGGTTAAGGGGAGATTTAATAGAGATGTTCAAAATTATGAGGGGATTCAATAGGGTGCACAGGGAGAAACTGTTTCCACTGGTAGGTGGGTCGGTAACCAGAGGACACAGAATTAAAATAGTTGCTAAAGAACCAGAGGGGAGGTGAGGAGAAATTTTTTCACACCACGAGTTTGTTTGGATCTGGAAGCATTGCTTGAAAGAGTGGTGGAAACCAATTCGATAACAACTTTCAAGAGAGTAGATAACTATTTGTAGTGGGTAATTTTGCAGGACTATGGGAGAGAGTGGGAGAGTGGAATTAATTTGGCCAGCCCTTTCAAAGAGCCAGCAAGGATGCGGTGGGCTGAATGGCCTCCTCCTATGCTGTATAATTCTATGATTCTATATACATTCTCAAGTGTGCCACAAAACGCTAAAACAGTCAAATATCAACTTTAAAGAAAGACATTTACTTGTCAGTTTTTCAAAAGTAATACCTTAACTGGAACAAAGCAGTGTGATAAGACTAACTGCAGCATTCCCCATGAATCGAGTTTTATCCCCACATTACCACGTTTCATTGCTAATGCATTCATAATACATACGAAAATCAATATGGAAAACATTAAAATTATATTGAGTCATTCATTTGAGACAACTACGCATAACACCTCTGTATTTTGGGCTTCGTAATCAACTTTTTGAATTTAACATCCATTACAAAAATGCAATCCGATTTAAATGCTTGTAAATACGCCATAAAGTGATATGTTATTTGTGAAGGCTGATGCAGAACACACGGTTAATTAGTATGGTTTACTTTGCTTATATTGCAATATAACCAATATTGTCATTGCTTAATCAATGATACAACCTACCTCAGCTTCCAAATCAACACTTTGTTTAAGAAGGAGCTTCAGAACATCCACATGTCCATTTTGACTGGCTGCTTGCATCGCGGTGTGTCCTGCACACTGGCCATTCACCTGCAAGTACACCACCAAAATATGAACCACATTTCCTTAAGGCAAGTTTGCTGCGCAAATTTAATAACACAGAGGAAGGACTTCTTCAATAACCCCCACGTTTGCATTTTGTAAAAATTATGTCCATAATGAAAACAGAAAAGGAAATTCTCACAAATTCAAGAACATGTCTAAGCACAAACAAACTAACAACCTCAACAAGATAGGAGACCATTACAAAAACTATACGTGAATGATTGCAGGTACCTAAAATTAATGTGAACATAAATTGATTGATCTCAGCAGTAATAGCTACTTCAAACCCACTGTTAGGAAATCAGACTTGGCTCTCTTACAAATTGGTTTAAAAATGCAAATCTGCACAATTATTCCACACAAAACATCTCTAAGTGCTATCCCGGATAGAAAATGCCAACAAAACAGAAGTCAAACTTAACTCCTGTCAAAAATGTCACAGGCTAAGGTTGGAGGTCATATACTATTTTATACAAGCTTATTAAAGGTGAAGGTTAAAGGTAACATTTCTGCTTAAAACACCCAAACCACAGAATATTTGTGTTAATTCAAGTCTTAGAATGCTTAAAAAAAATCTATACTCAGTTATTGTTCACAGATTGTTTTTAGAGGGATATAGGAATCTATACAATGGAATTATCTGGCTGGCCCCAAAGAAGAAATCAAATGAAGCTCAGGATCTTTCTATCTTTCATAAGCCTCAATTAAATTTCTTCCAAGAGATATCCAACTACCGCTTGAATTTGCAGCCACATATATATTAAATCAAAGAAGCCAGTACAAAAAAATATAGTTACAGGGCTGATTTAATGTTGAATACGCTAATATTTTTCCTATAATTACACATCATTGTGCATAGCTAACTCAAGAAATGGCTAGAACCCAAACCCTAAAATGTTGTGCTTCAACATGACGCAATGCCACATAGTGCGATAGGACAGTCTTGTGCTCAGAATTTGCCGTATAAAGGAACTACATTGACACCTAGGCTGTCGGACGTTTTTTAACAAAATGTCTTAATAGGCCGAGCCATTCTAAGATATTCTTGTACAATTCCTAGTGATCCTTGCCCAACTCCACTGGCTTGCCATCACACAAGAGGATACAGTTCAAGATCCTGGTTCTCATCTTCAAAGCCCTCCATAGTCTTGCTCCCCTCTACCTCTCCGACCTCCTAACCTCTACCACCCTGTTCGCTCCCTCTGCTCAGCAGGCTCTGGCCTGCTTCACATCCCCTGTTTCGCTCACCCTACTATCGGCGGGCGGGACTTCTGCCACTCTGCACCCACCTTCTGGAACGCCATCCCACAGTCCCTCTGTCTCGCCCCCTCCCTTGCCACCTTCAAGACCCACCTCAAGACCCTCCTCTTCGACCATGCTTTCGATCCCCCTGCCATCCCCCACCCCGACCCTCAGCTCGGGTCCATAACTCTGTCCAGCGCCTTGGGATGTCCTTCTGACGTGAAAGGCACTATACAAATGTAATTTTGTTGTTGGTGTTGTTGATCCTTTAAATAGCAAAATTGGTTGAGATAAGAGCAGGTGATCAGACAGGAAAGGAATCTTTTTCAAGCATGAACCAATTTTTTTTTGATAATTCTATAAACCAGTTATAAAAGTCCATTTAAAATATATTCACCTAGCCCATTTTCACAGGCTCAACCTAAATAATTATTATAGAGAAAGATCTTTTGTCATATGACTTTATAAATTCAAAGAGCATTGAACAATGAAAACAAGAATAATCGCAAACAATTCATGTTTGAATTAGGAATTTGCACTTAAAAATTACACCTGGATCATAATTCCAGATAATATTTCTGAATTCTTGTAACATGCATTTCTTTGTGCAAAAAATATTTCAGAACCATTTAAGAGTGGATTACTGTGTATTCTATTGGGATCCTGGTAATAGCGGTTAGTAACCATTCATTTCATTTTCTAATCAAACCTCAACATAATGCACACTTGTTTTAATTGGCAGACTTCTGCCACCTTGTGGCAAATGGGATTGCTTAACAATGCGGTAGTTATTGAAACAACCTGTGCATTGTCTGATGCTTCACAATTTAAAAGTACTGTATAAACAATAGACCCTTCCCAGGTTTCTCAGACACTGTGCAAATGGCATCATTCAATTCATCTTTGCATTATTCTTGAAACAAGAAATGTCTTTCTGAATGAACATAAATTACTCAGCCCTGAGAGTGTTATCTCCCCCTGCTGCAATAATGTCAAAGAACTGTATACCCTCAACCAAGTCAGCTCTTTATCTGCTTTATGTACATTGAATCTGCCCGAGGGTACACAGTGAATGAAACACCACCAAGCTGCCTATAATTTAATGTGGAGCTGAAATGACTTAGTTGTCAGATTTCCAAGAATATATCCCAGAAGCTTGTATAGTTACTGTTAGTGGAAAGATCCCCTCGAGACAAATCTAGCACCAAAATACCACAGTATTCAAACCTCTTGGACTTGAAAGTTAAAACCCTAAGTGTGGGCAATTTAAATTTCTCATCAGTTGGTGTGAACAAGTGTAATTTCAAAGTAGCAAAGAGCAATTCTGAAAGGTCACAGGTAGTATGTGATCCAGAGGGAAAAAAAAGAAAAGATAAACCATATTGGCAGCAATGGGAATATTTTTAGCCTACCCTTCTTCACTCCCCATCCCGAACCCCCCCATCTGAAGGTACCAACTAATGCTGGTGTACAGTTCAAAAGGTGCTCGGCATTTAGCTCAAGTGAACCTTAAACATGTATAAACATTGAAGTGTATGTTTACAGGCTACCCAACAGTGACAGAAATCACAGAAGAGCTCAATCTGTCCTCACTCAACATCAAGACACTCACACCTCGAGCAGGGCTCAATGTTTAGTGGGAACCCTGGCTGATATGCTTCTGAAACTTGGCAGAAGTCAGCCAACTCAGCATAAAACCTGGATTGAAACTGGGATCTTGCCAATGTCTATTGCTCCGTTTCACACAGCAGTGAGTCCTTGCTAAGCCATCAGGGGAGTGAATATTTTTATTTTGACAAAAATATTTTCCTTTTTTCCCTATTCCTTCAAAGAAATATTAGGAGGAACAGGTTGTGATCAATTACTCACATCAACATCTGGTCGTGCCAATATTTCTTCCACTTTGGCAACATCACCATTAGCTGCAGCTTTAACAAGTTCCTCATTGATGTCACCTGACTCTTGAGTCTCAAACAGTTTTTTCAGAAGCTGAGAAAGACGTTCTGTAAAGAAAATAGAGAACAGTAAAATGCACCATATAAAATCCCTCATTTTATGGTTACTATTTCAATAATATTCAATGTGAGCTCCTCAAATAGGCCCGTGGGTAAACTCAAAGCGTAAGCCATACAAACTGGAGGATACTGGCTCGAATCCAGGAGTCCACAGGCAACAATTGGGAGCAATAATTGACCTTAGTCAGCCCTGTGCTTGGTATTGTGCGAGGGAGGGGGTTAGAGGGCAGAAAGGTAAAAAAGCCAGGTTTCTACTCCTGAATATGGCATCTCTCTGAGAAAGTGCACGTGCGGCTGTAATGCTTCAGGGTCAAAGAATCTGCCAACACTTCAACATGAACAACTTGGGGGAGGCACGGGAGCACGGAAAACGTACATAGAATTGTATCCCAGCAAAGGGTCAGTGACTTTGAAAGGAAACAAGATGAAAATTAGTAAACAAATACAAAAGCTTTACCTTTACAGTATTAAAAATATTTTAAAAGTTCGTGGTTCTGAATCAGCAACAATCAATCGCCTCCGGCTGAGATTCTTCTCACTCAGCTCCTGTTAGCACTGCCAGCCAAAGCATGTCCTTGCTGGATAAGCTGCTGGAAGCTTAATAATATTCCTTACATTTGGTGCAGCACCTTTCACATTGGGAGGACGTTTAAAAGCGTTTCACAGGATATACTCCTCTACCTGCCCCCTTCACTCAGCTGACTCAAGCCCTCTGCTTTCTGCCTCTCCACCCCTACAATCTACGACTGTTTGTGGGACATTGCTGTGCGCAATTGGCTGCCGCGTTCGCCCACAAATATACAGTCAATTCACTTTACAGTGTGTTCTGTGAAGCGCTTTGGGACGTCCTCCCGACGTGAAAAGCGCTATATCAAATGCAAGGATTATTATTATTATTTATTATTACAACTCTGCCGCCCGCATTCTCACCGCATCAAATTTCGTACCCCGATTATTCCAGTCCTTACCAAACTCCACTGACTCCCTGTCACAGAGCGGATTGACTTCAAGATGCTCACCCAGTGTTTAAATCCCTCCATTACTTGACACCCCCCTATCTCTCTAACCTCTTCTATCCCCACAGCAGTACCTGCTGCCTCCGCTCTACTGGGTCTGGCCTCCTCCGCGTCCCCCGCTCCACTATCGGTGACAGTGCCTTCAGCCACTACGCCCCTGAAACTTTGGAACTCCCTCCCTCAACCCCTTCGCCTCGTCCCCTCCTTCCCCATCTGCAGGTCGTGTCTGAAGAACCTCCTTTTCGACCGCGCCTACTGTCACCTTCCCCCTCTTCCAGGCTCGGCCTCGGGCTCCACCATTTTTAAGTGTTCTGAGACACTGCCCGTCGTGGAGGGCGTTATGTAAGTGCAAGTTGTTGTTGTACATTCCCGAACTTTCTGTCTCAATCCCTCTATCTTTTACCTTCCCTTAGATCACATCTAAAGATCTTCCTCTTCGACCATGCCTATGGTCACCTCCTTTCTCTCCCCAGCTTGGCATAAAGCTCAGTCACTGTTAAGCACTCTGAAACTCTACGCCGCATGAAGAGTGCTTTATAAATGCAAGTTATTGTTGTACTGTAAAGTGGAGTGACTGTTTTTTCTAGGCAAACACGGCAACCAATTTTCCCACAGTAATGTCCCACAAACAGCCATGAGTTGAAAGACCAATTTTATTTGGGTGATTTTTGGCCAGAATCTTCTCTTCATGAATAGTGCCAAAGGATATTTAATGCCCACCTGAACAAGCATCCAACAGGTTGGAGATGTCATTTGAGAGATGTCTTATCTGAAAGACGACATCTCCAACAATGCAGCATATGAACAGCACTGCATTGGAGTGTCAGTGAGTCCCAAATCCTAACATGGGGCTTGAACCCAAATGTGAGACAGTGATTGCAATAGTAACCTGCACTGTTTTAGCTTGTTGAACTCCATCAGTATGCCAATGAACACTCTGGTGCCTCCAAGCAAACAAACAAACTTGCACCTATTACCTTCCAAATTTTGGTGAGCAGGGTGCATTCCTCCTGGGGAATGCACACTGGATTCTAAGCAGAAATTTCCATGCATAGCTGGAACACTCCGAAGTTTGCTTTGGAGATTTTTGGATACCCGTCTGGCCCCCAAAACATTTTTTAGTTACAAAGAAAATTATTTCCTAGCAAACCTGTTTATGAGGAAAAACAAAGCAATAGAAGAGATCAAACATGTTTTACTGTTGCAACATGTTTGCATGTGGATCCCATTCACTCCACAAGCATGCAGCTTGTCAGTTCGCTTGGTGCAGGCTTGCCCATTCTGCACTAAACGTGAACAATTTCCAGGCCGTTGGAACACCAACTCGACACCAGCACCGAATGCGCAATATTAATAAGTCAAAAAAAGAAAAATGGACAACAAGGCCAGTTCAAAGGCTGCACTTACCACCAGATGCATTGCTCACAGCAGATCCAGCTGATGCCACCTTGGTGACCGCCGCTGGATTGTATGTCCAGGATGTCCCACAAACTTCAACTTTCAGGTCACTGTCAGAGTAAATCTGCTGTACACGTCCAACTTTCCCCAAAGTCTATGCAAATAAAAGTGTAACAAACAATTCTATACTTGGATAATCTCCAATTGCATCTGTAACCAACTGACTCAACATCGTGTGGTAGAAAGGTTTTACGTTGCTTATGCAGAGTTGCTAACATTTAACAACCACCAAACACCCTGACAGCAGCTGAAACTGCCAATGAAGCACCTTCCTTATACAACAACAACATTACATTTGTATAGCGCCTTTCACATTGGGAGGACATCCCAAGGCGCTGGACAGAGTACAGCATTTCAGACCTGAGCTGGGGTCGGGGGGGGAAGGGGAGGGGAAGGGGGGTGGCCGATGGCATGGTTGAAGAAGAGGGTCTTGAGGCGGGACTTGAAGGAGGCTAAAGAGGGGGCGAGGTGGAGTGACTGGGGGATGGAATTCCAGAGGTTGGGAGCAGAGTGGCTGAAGGCTCTCCCGCCAATGGTGGGGCCGGGTATGTGGAGCAGGCCAGAGACGGCTGAGCGGAGGGAACAGGCGGATTGGTAGGGGATTAGGAGGTTGCAGAGGTAGGGTGGGGCGAGGCCATGGAGGGCTTTGTATGTGAGGACCAGGATCTTGAACTGGATCCTCTGAAGGATAGGGAGCCAGTGGAGTCGGGCAGAGTGGGGGAGATGGGGTCATGGAGTTTGGTGCGGGAGAGGACACGGGCTGCAGAGTTCTGGATTATCTGTAGCCTGTGGAGGGAGGAGTTGGGAAGGCCGACAAGCAGGGCATTTGCATAGTCGAGCCTAGAGGTGATGAAGGCACGAACAAAAGTTTCAGTGGCCTGAGGGGTGAGGTAGTGGCGGAATCTGGCGATGTTACAGAGGTGAGGGAAGGCAGAACGGGTCATGGCTTGGATGTGGGGAAGAAAAGACAGTTGAGGGTCGAACAAGAAACCTGGGTTCCTGACTGACTTGGTGAGTTGTAGTGTGTAACCATGGGGGTTGGTGTTGCCGGAGCCTGAGGTGCTGAGGCGCTGGCGTGAGCCAATCAGGAGGGCCTCAGTCTTGTTCACATTCAACTGTAGGAAATTTGCCCTCATCCAGGACTTGATGTCCGACAGGCAGTCTGTCAGGACAGCAGTGGTCCTGGAATTGAGGGTGGAGGCAGAAAGATAGAGTTGGGTGTCATCCGCATACATGTGGAAGTTGACCCCATGTCTGCGGATGATGTCACCGAGGGGGAGCATGTAGATATTAAAGAGGAGAGGGCCAAGGACAGAGCCCTGGGGGACGCCAGACGTGACAGTGCGGGGGCTGGAGGAGAAACCGTTAGCGGCAACAAAGTGGAGACGATGAGAGAGATAGGAATCGAACCAGGCAAGGGCAGGTCCGTGAAGATTAAGTAAAGCGGAGAGGCGGTGTATGAGGATGGAGTGGTCGACAGTGTCGAAGGCGGCAGAAAGGTCGAGGAGGACAAGGAGGCAGAGGGAGCCCTGATCACAGATGTTCAGAATGTCATTAGTGACTTTGACCAGGGCTGTTTCCGTGCTGTGGGCAGCGCGGAAGCCGGATTGGAGGGGTTCAAAGAGGGAATGGCGAGAGAGAAAGGAACGGAGCTGGGATGCGACGACTCGTTCCAGGACCTTGGAGAGGAATGGGAGGTTAGAGATGGGGCGGAAGTTGGAGAGGAGGGATGGATCCAGGGAAGGTTTTTTTCAGGATGGGGGTGATGACGGCTGTTTTTAGGGGGGTGGGAACTGAACCGGTGGACAAGAAGAGGTTGATGACTCGGACAGGTGAGTGGCTGGAAGGTGGAACTGGGAGATGAGGAGAGAGGTAGGGATGGGATCGAGGGAGGTGGTGGGTTTGAGTTTGCGGACTGTCGTGGTGAGGGAGGAGGGAGTCGAAGGAGTATAGTATTTATATCTAAATACCAGCACTTTTCAGATTCTCATTGACAAACTGTCCAATGAAACAAGAAGATTTTCAATTAGAATTGCCAACTAAGTTGATACAGTACAGGGTTATATGCATAACATTTTATTTCTATGCTTCTTCAAAAGACGGATTATAAAATAGCTGTAGTACATAATGACATAGTTGGGCAGTGAATATTTTATCAAATTAGCTTATTTACAAGTACAAAATAATGCTTCCATAGATGAGAAAATAAGCCAGAGATGCCATGTTAAAAAGAGATGCGACTGATGGTTTATTGTTGAAAGATTTTGAAGAAAAATCGACAGTTCTTTTGAACCAAATAAGATCATGGAGGGGGGGGTCCATTCATTTAGCCAATGTAAAACAAGATTCTTCAAAAGAGAGCCAGGAAAAGCATCAAATCAGTCCTACTTACTGGCAGCATAGCTTCAGCCCACTCCCCATGGCCACGCTGAAGCAGCTTGATTCGCTCCAAATCATAGCAGATCTGAACCAGGTCACCAACATGAAACTGTGAGGCTCCACCTTCTGCACCCTGAGCCGCATCTCCGCTACGAACCACATTGGCCTTTGTGAGGACTGCAGGATTGAATGTCCACCTGTGAACCAGAGCAGAAAGAAAATCCTGCTTTCAGAAGCTTGATACAAACACTTCAAGGGTCCTTCTCTCTATCAATGCAGTTTTGCATTTCATTTTTGAGCCATTTTGCTACTTACCTGTTTCCACTTGGATATTGCACGACAATATCATGGTCTTCATCAATGCCACAGACAGTGCCAGTGGTGGTCAGTGTCTCAAACATACCATCAGTCCAACCACCGTGCCCATGTTGCAATGACTGGACAATCTCTAAATCCAAATCGATATTTACAAGATCACCAATCTGTAGACCGCCAGGGTTCCGACTCCCATTTTGTTCACCTACAGCCAATACAAAAGCTGATCAGTGAAAGCCACAAAATTATATTTTTACCTTAACCATAATAAAAGTTAGCCATGTTGCAATACAGTGAAACTCTGATAACTCACCCCTAGGATAAATCATCAACCCCACATAACTAGACACTCACTCAATATCTTGGTTATTCAAGTACTTTGTATTTTCAAGATTCTGTACTTTAGATTATAAGTCAACTCTGGTATGCAGTCATTTGAGCTATTTCCCTTGGGGTGTCGAGTTATCAGTTTCACTGTATCTTGGAGTAAAACTTTAAAATAAATCTGATGAATGCCCAGAAATGATCTCATGAGAATAAAGTATACATGTCTGTATCATTAACTGCTACTTAATTTCCAATATTAACTACTTCCAAGATGAATAAAATTGAAACTGATTTAGGTGACTAAATTCATAAAGTGCTGAATTTAATGTAGCATTTGATCACACTGATGAACAGGATTTGCTAAATATTAAAAATTTGGTCAGATTTTTGCTACTTGCCAAAGGAGCCTGACAATTTGCCTTTGGTTGTGGTTGGAACCACTGCATCTGGATTTTGGTTTAATTAAGGTTATATTATGGAAGTGGCTGCTGTGGCTGCCTACAAATATGCAGTCAATAAAGCAAATACCCTGTGAAACTCAGAAGTTTGGGAGATATAAGCTCAATATCAAATGCAATAACATGCCCTTCATGTCTCAAAGAGTTTCACAGTGGTGTGCAGTGCTGAGCAAGGGAGAAGTTGAGTAGCTGGTTTTAAAATGGAATTTAAAGACAGGAAAAGAAGGCAAAGGGATAGAGGCAGCCAGTTGCAAAGATTAGGGACACAGCGACAAAAGGCTTGGCCACTGATGGTTGCACAGAGAGGGGAGCCAGGGCACATGGAGCAGGACAGTGAGCAAAGGGGAGGGGTGCATTCATGAAGATCAGAGCGAGAGGGTGTAGAGGTAGAGATAATCCAATGATAATTAGCGATCGCTAATTGTTAAACTTCAGTGAGTCTGAAACAGAGACTCATTGTTGTTGGGGTGGAGCAAGAATTTCTACAGCTCCTTGGTTAAGTAGTCATCAACAGATTTGAGAATCTAAAACAGAAGTTCCCGTTCCTGTAACAAAGCTTGTTTTCACAAAATAAATTTGATTTTGTTTTTCAAATCAAAGTCTACGATACTGAAAAATACCAGATCTTTGCTTTTTCTTGACATTTATTTCCTTTTCATTTCTAAGTAGTGAAGGGACAGGGCTGAAGAACTAATAAGTTAAGACAGTTGAAGATGCATTCATTGGAATGCACTACATTTCCTCTTCACAAGATGGTACTTGCCCACTTCGCAATTGTCCACAATCTGCAATATCTGCTGAATTTCCCCTCCCTAACCTACTCTGACCTGGAGCACACCCAGTGTTATCCATGTTCCATGCCCCTTGAGACAGAAAAAATGGTGCATTCGGGAGACACGGAGGAGCAAATTCGTTAAGCAAAAATTAAACAAAATAAACCCTTGATTTGGGATTCTGGATAAGGAACAGAGATTTGCCAAACTTTAAAAGAGCACTTCCTTTGAGTTACACTTTTCTGATTTTTATTTTACTGGATTTAATATCACAAAAAACGCATCGATTGTGTCCAAAATAAACTTTGATCACATTTTTCACTTAAAAGAAACAAATAGCATTTATCTAAAACTAAGGAATCCTCTAAGATCTCCTCCTCCCACAAAACTTTTGATTCTGAAATTATATTCTGCAATGTAGCATCCAGAGCTCTGCAGCCATGTCCATTGCTTCACGAGCCTACACCTCCTGCCTTGCTCAGATCCACATTCTTTTTCTATACTACTGACCTTAAAATCTTGTGAAAAATAAATCTACTGGATTTTAGCTGATTATGGATGAAAAGATACCCAAAGTGCTATGGTCAATATTGTTCAAAATAAAAACAACAATATAAAGCAAAGCAATCCGATGCACTAATTTATGGCACCCCAAACGCAAGTCCCTACTTACTTCAATTCAAAGAAAAGGCAGTTGTGATGTGAAATACATTCAACATGAAACTGTTTTGAGGAGGGTCAAATGATTTCACTTAGGTTGCAAGATAATTTCACTAAGTCTTGTTCATCTCATCAGTTTGTGCTGCATCTGAGCCTGAATCTCTTATATTCTATATCACTGTTCTGAACCGCCATTCGCTTTGTGTTTGCTATAACACATTTCTGAACATACTCACCCAGCACAGGACAATGATCTCTGTAAAAGGAACCTCCTTTTGCATCCTGGACACATTTCAAGTCAGACTAGTTGAAAGGGAGGGAAAAAAAACTGTATAATCATTCAAATATACCATAGGTTATATACAACCTCCAGAATTACTTTCACGCGTCACACCTGAAAATATGGATTGACAAACAGAACTCGCTTTCCATATTACTTCAGTAAACTTGGGAATGGAAATAATGTATCTTGGACATTCAAGTTTCAATAATCACGTTTGAAGGAAAGCATTTCTACATTCCAGCCTCAGAAATCCAGCAGAAACAGTATCTTATTCACATCTGGTGACGGCAATATGCTCCATTTATTCCATTCAAACTAAATGCAAAATCACTTACTTCACGTGATCTGATGTGCATTTTTTTGTACGTTAAAGTACAGCTTTATTGTTATATAGTCACATCAGGAGCACGTACTCTGCTTAGTCCATGCCTGTTCCTGATTGGCTGGATGCACCCGAGACGTAACAGTTTCCTTCCTTTTCTATGGTGTAATCTGAATCAATTTATACTGTGTCGTTATGTGCGTAGACATATGATGCAGTATTACCATTTCAGTTGGTTGATGAAAGTAAAATTGTTGCTATTGAAAATGTATTGTTGCATAGAAAAACCCACTGCTGCTTATGTGCAGTACTAAAAGAGCATATGCAGTGTATAAAAATGTGCAAAACAATATAGAAGTATATATGTATGATGTTCTGTATGTATTGCCTTTTTAGCAATGAGTCCTTTTTAAATATAAAGTGGCCATTTTTGTCACTCAGTGGCCATTTGTCAATTTGGGTTGGACAGCAATGCTCTGGAGTATAATCGCATTATGGGGAATGAACAAACTTACCCAATCTTAAATCAGTCTGGCCATCTCATTGTATTGGTAACAATCCATAATTCCACAAAAACACTCTTGGTGACTACCATAAGATGCCAAAAATAAATGAGAAATTACCTTGGGCTCTACTTGAGTTAATTCTAGAGAGTTTCATCACAACGACTGCACACACCTATTCCCTAAACAGCTCATAGCACAGCAATTTACTGACACAGCAATCTATTGCCTAAAAAAAATTCAGAACCATTGGGCTTAGGCTTGGTGTTCACAAGACCTGACAATAAATAGATGGGATGCAAGTATATGCCATCACTGCACCCAAAAAATCAATTAAAATATCAATGAAGAAATTAGCACTGAAATACAGTGTGGCCGCACACTGGAACTGCAATTCAAGGCAACGAGCAGTATCAGTCTCCTTTGCAACCAATCCTATTTATGATGCTGCAGGCAATTGCTAAACAGATGCTATCCAGCTACCATCAGCCGCTCTTATACACAGCCAAGCATGCAGCACATTACGTCAATGTTAGCAATTTTGTACAAAAGCATTGGCACAGGCAATTTGCCTAACCTCTCAAACAGGAAGTTTATGGGAAGTGAGGAGACCATATAACCGTTGGAAAGAAAGAAAACATGTCTGCAGAAGGCAAAACAAAATCTGAAACTCTTGAGAAGCTAACTGTTTTCTAGTGTATTCAAAAGATGCAGCTACCTCAAACATGAAGCCACTGCATTCAAACTGGCAGTTTCAAGCAAATCAAAATATAGCTTTGTACAAATGGCTCCCATTTCAGGTAGTTAGTTCAAATTAGGGGAAGGACAAAGAAAATTGTACCTAAAATTATGCTTTAAGTGTTTGAGGTGCACAGTTAATAATACAGTAATATAGCTATTCTAGACTTCTTTTTACAACAGTGCTGTTTGTTTCAGTATCATCTTTTTTGTTGGAAAGACGATTCGCAGAAGCTCAGTATTTAAAATGACAATTTTGTTCACAACAGAATGACTCCAGTGTGCTCATTTTATCTTTAAAGTATCTTGTATTTTATTTGCAATTCCTATGTTATCATGTTAAGTCGCTTAAGCATTCAGAGACGCCATCCGGCATGAAGGGCATGATGGAATTGCAAGTTATTGTTTAACTTTCATGATTAAAATAATTAATAACAATTTCACATTATTAATCAAAATGAGTAAATTCACTTGTGAACCAATGTGTGAACAAACGTATATATTGGAGAGCAATGTTATTCTCACTCAATGTGTGCAATGGATCTTCAATGCACAAGCCAGAGGCAGAACCAGATCTGCACAGACTTGCTTGCTCCAGTCGCTCCTGGAGATTTTCCTATGGAATTGTTATTTAAAACAGCTGCAGTCCATTTCAAGTTTGAACGTGGGCTTCACAAAACAAATTGTATTTTTAACCATAAGCTTCACATTTTCAAACCAAAAGGTAATTTATTTGTAATGTGACTAGCCAACAACAGAAAGAACACTTTCCAATCAGTGAGTGTATCAATTAATACAATAGAGCACCCTACACCCCACTCCCCCACCACAGACACACACACACTCACATTATGCTCATGACCCTTGCCTGCCCTTTCTTACCATGCCTTCAAACCCCACTCTGTAAAGGTTTTTGGCTCCATTGTCCCACAAAACATATGCTGCACTGTGAGGGCTGGATGCACTCCAATCCTGGATTTCAGTCACCTACAAAATAAAACACCCACATCATAACAAGGTACAACAAACACTGTCAAGAGCACTTATTAGTTCCGGTACCTAAATAACCATTTGTAAAACCAAATAGTTTGTAGGGTATATAAAATTAAATTGTTTGTTTAGTTTGTAAACACTTTATGAATGTTCTGAAAAATGTGCGTTAGCCTGGCTCAGTTAGAAGCACTCTCGCCTCGGAAGAAGATTACAGGTTCGAACTCCATGTTGGGACTTGGAACCCATATCTATGCTGACACTCCAATGCAGTGGTGGGAGGTGTGCTGCATTGCTGCATCTGCCTTCCTTTGGATGAGGTGTTAAATTGAGGCCCTATCTGCCTGTTCAAGTGGACTTTAAAAATCACACGGCAGTATTCGAAGAGAAGAGTTTCTCCTGGTGAGCTGGCTAACGATTTCCAAAATAAAATTGGTCATTCATATCATGGCGGTTTGGGCAACATTGGTTTACACAAATTGGCTGCCGTGTTTATCCATAAAATACAGTAAGACCATTTCACAGTCTATCCTAAGAAGCGCTTTGAGATGTTCACTTGACACGAAAGGCATTATACCAAAGGCATGAATAATGATTATTAAAAACAAGAACTTTCAAAACACAGTATGCTCAGTTGTAATGCGAGGATTGGGATCCATAAAATTCCAATCACAAATTCTAAAAAGGTGGGAAAGCCCGTTTCACTGGGCATGCATTAGTCGACTACATATGTCCATTGCAACATGTTGCAAACAAATTTACGCTTTAAAGATGGGCAGTATAACAAGGCCAAACTACGTAGCATGTTTCTAAAACACTTTTTGCAAAAAACAAGTAGGGAATCTTCATTGCTGGGATAGTCAGTTTCACTAGGTAATCACAGACAGCTGCTTCATCCTATGCTCACTGGTTGGTTCCCATCCTAAACAAAAACAGAGACTTTGAGGTCAACAGTTTGCCAACACAGGAAAGGATATTGTGGCATCCTAACATCCCAAGAATTGGCCATTTTAGCATGAGAACTGGTTGTTGTCCTGCGGGAACCGAGCAGATAAACTGCATGTATGTACAACAAAATGGGGTCCATTTTGCTACTGCATTACTAAATTTCATGGTATAATAGAGCTGCACTGTATTACCATGATCTGTAAATCTTATTGTTCACTAATAGTACCAAACATACTATGCAAATGCAGATGTTTTTCTAACTTGATTTAAAAAATAACAATCCCCAAAATAGAAAATGTATCTGTACAATGATTTTTATTTATTGAGGAATGTTTTATGAGCAGGGTTTTTGAATTTTCTATTCTTGAACAGGATTCACAAGATCTAAAGAACTGCAAACATGAATTTAATCTCAATAGCCACCTTCAGTAGATGCTATGTTGCTTTTATCAATCGTGCTTGTTCAGTATTTTTACATTAAATTAATTATGCTTGGATAATTCAGCATTTTAATTTCAAATCAAAGCAAATCAACCCTACTCCAATTTTGCAGACAAAATCAACACAATGAGTATCAAAAGATATTGCAATGGTGTTCATTCTCTCAACAAGCTTACAGACAGCAATAACCATTTAACTGGCATTAGCACTGGGTTCAGGAGGGGCTACCCTCAGATGGTCCTACTGCAGTTCAGCTTTCTTAATTCTCAACTGCAAATATGTCAACATAAAAATATACTATGAGAAAGAGTATTTCCAGAGACTTGGTGTGGAAAGGAAGACCTATTTCTCCTAAGAAATGAATTCCAATCCCTTCCCTCAAACATTTCTCTTTCACCCAACACTCAAGATTTTAGCAAGTAGGCATCGCTGCTGTTACTCACGTGTTATTAAAGTTGTACTTTTACAGAAGCTGCTTTATAATCATCATTCACTCAACTTCAAACATTAGTACATTTTCATAGCTACATCATAGTCATTTGGTTTGCATATACAGGTGAGATATCCTGCATGCTTAAGAAAATATTTCCTCACCTTTAGTGTCTGCAAACAAGATGTGAGGAAATGGTTAATGCTTTTAACCCACACAAAGAAAAAGCCTTAGCAAGTTTTAAATAAGAAAGGAATTAAAAACTAGCCTGAGCTGAGATTCAAAACTACATTCAGTCCAATGCCAAGACAATCTTCCTCTACATCGAGAGAATTGACTGGTTATGTCCTTCGTAGCCAACATTATTTTGAATTATACTGGGCACGAATGCATTAATCAATTAAGGAAAATTTCAATAATCTGATAGATTTATTCTCAAATTCTAATAAAAGTACTGCAGTTACTTGGTTCTTAGCATCAAACATTTAGATAAATTGTACTTAGCATATTAGCAGCAGGCAGTTACCTATAAAATTGCTACATGGAAAATACAAAAAGGACTGCAAAACGCAGGAGTTTCCACTTACAAAAAAGCAGTTAGCAAAAAAGAAACTTCAAACCACATATCTTGGTCAGGAATACAAGTCAATAGTTAACTTTTTTTTAAACTTTGAAACTCACTTGGAGAATTTTCAAAGTATAGCATCAAACACCTACAGCACACAATGGATCCATTAGCAGTAACTTTCCCATGACTTTCCTACACCAGGCTCCTCGGCCAGCTCGACTGGCTTGCCATCCCCCAAAGGATTGAGTTCAAGATCCTCATTCCCACCTTTAATTCCCTCCATGTCTCCTATCCTCCTTCTGCAACTTCCTCAAATTGTACCAACCCGGCTGCTCCCTCCGCTCCCCTCCATCACTCGCCCTGCTTCCCCAGCTCAATTGCAAACCTTGAACTGTCCAGTGCCTTGGGGTGTCCTCCCAACATGGAAAGCGATATGTAAATTTGTATTGTAGTGTCATACCTCTTGCCCCGAGGCTCTGGAACTCCATCCCCCAGTGCCTTCGCCGCCTCCTTCCTTTCCTCCTTCAAGGCCGGTCTCAAGACCTTTCTCTTTGACCGTGCCTTCAGCTCCCCTCTCGACTCTCTACCCCCTCCTCGCTCCCTCCCTTCCCTCCCCTCACCCTGACCATTTCTCCCTTGTTCGGGTCCTGACCCAACTGTACAGCGCCTTGGGACGTCCTCCCAACGTGAAAGGCGCTCAATAAATGGAAACTTGTTGTTGTTGTTGGTGCAGTGTAACCAAACCATCAAGCAACATATCATTACCACTTAATTATCATTACCACTTAACACAATTAACTTTCAGCATATGCAAGTAGAAAACATTACAAAGACTACAAATGATCCACAGCAAATCAATCAGCATCTAAAAGAGAAGGATTGAACTGAAGCTTCAGGCAGGACCCTGCACCAGATGTCATACACAGAATGCTAACCTGTCTTTGTTGATCTTCTGTTGAAAGACCCATTATATTTGCATACTATTTGAGCTGCTGATCACAGTTCTCTCAACTGCCCACTGTGATTTCTGGTCGCCCCACAACTGAATTACTCAGAAGAAAAATAAGTGTAGGTTTTAAATAGACATAGGAAAACAAGCATTTAACAATATTGTCTTTCATAATTGTAAGAATTCCGAAAAAGGATAATTTGTACAACCCGGAGGTGCTGAAGGCGAGATCAATCAATACTGCAGCTGTTCAACTATATTAAATTCCAATTCACAAATACTTATTGCTAAAACAGATCTCACCTTTCCTCTCCGACCATTGCCTCCATCTTGGTCCTCCCACTGCCAGTCCACTCCGCGAACCACTCGTGCACCAGCACAGATCCCTCTTGCTGTTATCTTCTTTGACTTGCGCCGTGATTCAAGCAAAACCCTATCAAAAATATTTTAAAATGAAACTGTTACTAAACAAAGGAAAATCTGAAAACAACAACTTGAATTTATATAGTGCCCTCCACACCGGACGGCGTCTCAGAGCGCTTCACAGTAATGGGTCCCGGGACCGAGCCAGGGGGAGGGGGAGGAAGGTGGCCAAAGGTGCGGTCGAAAAGAAAGGTCTTCAGCAGAGACCTGAAAATAGGAAGAGAGGGAGCGAGGCAAAGGGAGTGAGGAAGGGAGTTCCAGAGCCTCGGGGTGTAGTGGCTGAAGGCACGGCCGCCGAGGGTGGAGCAGGCACTGTTTTGAGGAGGTCAGAGAGGTAGGGGAGTGCAGAGGAGTGGAGGGATTTGAATACAAGGGTGAGGATCTCGGTCAATCCTCTCTGGGATAGACAGCCAGTGCAGTCTGGCAAGGATTGGGGTGATCGGGGAGCGGAGTTTCGTGCGGGTGAGATTGCAGGTGGCAGAATTTTGAATGATTTGGATTTTATGGATGGTAGTGGATGGGAGACCGGGGAGGAGGGCGTTATAGTCCAGCTGAGAGGTGACAAAGGTATGGACCAGGGTTTCAGCGGCTTTTGGGGAGAGGTATTGGCGGAGACGGGCGATGCGTTGGAGGTGGAAGAAGGCGGTGCTGGTGAGGGACTGGATGTGGGGAGGAAGGATAATTGGGGGGGGGGGTTGAACCTGGCACTTAGGTTGCATACGGGTTCAGAGAGTTTTAGGGGGAGGTCAGGTAGGTGGAGGAAGTGAGAGCCGTGAGATTTTAAACATTGACAAAAGCCAAAGAGTATGGCTTCCTTCTTGTCAATGTTCAGCTGAAGGAAATTTGCGCTTATCCAACCTGAGATCTGAAAGGCAGGCTGACAGAACATCAGGGGACTGGGGGTCGCAAAGAGAGGTGGAAAAATAGAGTTGGATGTCGTCTGCATACATGTGGAAGTGTACTCCATGTCTGCGGATGACATCCCCAAGAGGGAGCATATAGATCAGAAAGAGGAGGGGGCCAAGGATGGATCCTTGGGGTACCTCACAAGTGACCGGGTGAGAGCGGGAGGAGAAGCCGTTTGTGCAGATGTATTGCTGGCGGTTTGTGAGGTAGGACTCGAACCAGGTGAGTGTGGTCCCACTGAGGTGGATGACAGAGGAAAGGTGGTGGAGGAGAATGGCGTGTTCGACTGTGTCGGACGCGGCAGAGAGGTCCAGGAAGACAAGGAGGCAGAGGGAGCCCTGGTCACAGATAGAGAGGATGTCATTTGTGACTTTTACAAGCGCAGTCTCTGTACTGTGGGCAGGGCAGAAACTGGACTGGAGGGGTTCGAAGAGGGAGTGGGAGGAGAGGTTTGCACAAAGTTGATTGGCAACAACACGTTCTAGAACTTTTGAGAGGAAGGGCAGGTTAGAAATAGGGCGGTAGTGGCTGGGGTTTGAGGGATCTAGGGAAGGTATTTTCAGGAGGGAGGTGACGACAGCAGTTTTGAGGGGGGCAGGGACTGATTTGGAGGAGAGGGACTGGTTGATGACGTCAGCCAGTAGTGGGCAGAGGATGGGGAGCTGGGTGACCAGTAAGTTGGTGGGGAGGGGGTCGAGGCAGCAGGTGGTGGGGTTTCATGGAGGTGATGATGGGTGAGAGGGAGGAGGGAGAGATGGGGAGGAAGGAATGTAGAATGGGGGTGGTGGTAGGAGGAGATGATGAGGAAGGTGAGGGGGCCAGAGAGGGTGTGGTGGTGGGTAACAAGGGGCAGGTGGATGAGGCTGCCTAGCGGATGCCTGCCACGGAGGAGGTAGTGGGTGGTGGAAAATCAATTTACTAGTTACATTAAAAAATCAAATTGCCTTCATCCAGATAACAGATAGATGACCTGTTCTTGAGCCTTTGCAGGCACCATTCCCAGAAGGTACGGAAACTCCTGGTCTGACTTTCCCACCTCTCCATCAACAAGATTTGTTTTTTTACAATATTGTGAACAACATTTAAAAAAAAACAAGTACAGGCCTGGGCCCCCCAAAATAAATTGGTAACCACAGAAACCAAAGTGGCATCGTATATTTTCCATTTTACCATTGTTGTCCTTTCATTCTTTTGCTCACACGTTATACATATGAAAAACAGAACTACAATGCTGTTGTACAAGTGCTCAAATAATGTAATATGTTACAGCAGTTACAATGGAATGCTCAATCTTAAGAGATTTAGCCATCTGAACAGGATTAACCTGGACATTAATAAGCTAAAATTGTGCAATATTATCCAATATAACCTCACCAAAACAGTTACCAAACTTTTTAACAAAAATATTGGAAATACTGCATCAAAATGTAAAGTGAGGTATCCAAAGATATGATGTGTCACAGGACTACTCACTCAACAGTAATTGTTGATTACAGATTCTCAAAGAGGAAGTTCAGTGATCTATGCCTGGCAACGTTGTTTTACACTGTGGTTACTGCGGCATTCTGATGACTGAGTTCATGAAAAGCACGTCAGCAGGAAAGCCCAAGGTTTAATTTTAAACGTATATGTAACTGAGGGGATTGCAGGCTGCCGTTCCCCTTTTTCAATGGTGTAAGTGAAACAGCAACCACATTTCATAAAAATATCTAGGTCAGAATATACCTTAAATACCCGGGGAAAAATGAAAACCAAAATTATTTTACTACGGTTGAGAAGGGGAATATCCCTGATCCAAGTCAACCTCAGCATACTCGATTGACATGGACAAACAGTATGCAGGGCACCACAGTAGGAATCCTAAAATTAAGAAAAAGGCCAGATTCCATTTCATCCATCCTGACAACAAACATTTTGTTCCTCATATGGAAAAAATACTTTCAAGAATTTTTTTTGGCAATGTACAATGGCTCGGATACCTCATATTCACAGACTATCCGCCTCTACAGATCACCAAAATTTCTGCTTCTTTGCCATATTAACAAGAAGGCTAACAGCATCAAGTATCATTACCACATTAAAGCATCCTGTGAGTCATTCTGAATTATGCAATCAGCCAAAGAGGACAATGATCATTAAGGTAAACAGGATAACATAGGCTTACTAAAATTCCAAGTTATTTCCCTGAAAAGGCACACACACACACAGTTCAGTTACCTCTCACTTCCTGGAATGGTAATTCTGTAGAATCTGTGCCTCAGATGATGCTTGTCTCCATGGTAGCAAACAGTACAAAGGTCATAATTTGTACACTCTGCACATTTCCAGCGAATGCCAATAATTGGTTGCTGTCGGCATGTATCACACATTGTTCCATCATGCTTGATCCCTAGAAGAAAGGATATCAAATTAAACTTTGTTCCTGTGTGGTTTTAAAAGTAAAGAAAGTTGAGCTTGGACTCCAACAAAACAACTAATTGCATTTATATAGCGTCTTTTACATCGGAAGGATGATCCGAGGAGCTGGACAATCAAAGGTATGCAATTGAGCCAGGCACACACACTTAATAACCACGATTCAACTTGTGTCTGGAATCTGCAGGAATAAGACACCAAAAGTATGGAGTTCATCGACAGATTACAGATTCTGGTAGCATGAAACAGACTAAAAGTCCAGTGTTCTATACAATTAAAACAAAGAAATATATATATTGTAGGATTCCATAAGTAATTTCAAAATTCAGAGTAATTTCAAAATCATTCAACAGAGTTTAAAACAATAAAAAAAAGTTGAGGATCTGCTCATAGCGCAGCTAAAATATAAACTTGGAATCTAAAATAAGATATTCGCAAACTCGAAATCCTGAAAGCTTCCAAATTCCTTGTACCTGCCATCCATCCAGTGATGACTCAAACCCGTACTTATCAGATGTCAAAAGGACCAACTAGTAACTGTCCACTTTGTGAGGGAAGTAAGTGGGGTCTCTTTGGAGCTGAACTGGCTCCAAGGTAACATAATATCTAACATATATATATATATATATAATATATAGTAAAGTGAATTGACTATATTTTGTGGGCGAAACTCGGTAACCAATTGTGCACAGCAGTGTCCCACAAACAGTCGCTTGTTAGGCACTTGAAGGGCAGACCAGTCACTGCGGGCAGGGACTCTTCCCGCTCAGCTCCCGTTAACCCTGCAAGCCAAAGCCCTCATGGATAGGTACATCAGAAAGAAGGTTTGCCTGACAGTGCCTTCAATAGAAAGCCAGGTGGTTTTAACTGGTTAGACTAAAACCACATAGTTTGGAGCCCCCAAGCCTTGGCTCTTGCCAACTTGTATCTAATACTCTCTGGAATTAGGTGCCCAGGATGCGTCCCTCCAAGGAGTGCATTCCATTCAAATGAATATCTCTGGAACTTCCATGTAGAGGTGGGATGCATGGAACTCGTTTGATTTGGATACTCTCAAGCATGGTGATGGGTTTCCACTTGTGTCAGAAATCTGGTTGACCAAAAAAAAAATAACTTAGCTAATTACACTTGCAATTCAAGTGATTCCAAATTTAAGAAACTGCTTTGAGTTCCATCACTCATTGTTATCTGAAGATGAAAGAATCGACAGTCAGTGAAGCTTTTTCTAGCCTGTGCAGTTCCAAATGAGGCAAATGATGTTTGTATCCTATTTTACTGTAAGCATACCAAATGCAGAACAGTCGCAAAGGATATGTCAACATTTTGGCAACTTTGACTTCTCAGGGGGCTTCACAAAATCAAGGAGCATTGTGCCAAAAAGATCAAATACAATCTCAGGATTTAATTATTTGCCATTTTGTCGAGTCACCACTAAACTATACTGACACTGAACAAAAAGTGTTTCTTAACAAATTACTATTGCATTAAAAGCAGTTCTAAAATCCATTAGCTAGTGGATGAGATTTTGAATGAAGGCAGCTGCAATCTCCCATTATATTCTATTTTGGTCTGATCCATTCTATTCACTGTGATCCTGATCTTCAAAGTCCATAAATTCTAACCAAAAGCAGGCTTAACTGAAAAGATTTACTCGACTGGAGGCTATCTTTGCACAACCATTGCTGCACACAATTTTAATGGAAATAATTACAAAACTCTTAGTACTCCATGTTTTCTGAAGATGAAAGTCAGTGAAGCTCTTTCTAATAGCCTGTGCAGTTCCAAATGAGGGAAATGACGCTTGGTATCCTGCTTAACTTTAAGCATATCAAACGTAGTGAAAACACACTTCACAGTATATCCTGTGAAAAGCTTTAAAACCCCTTGATGATGTGATAAGAACACTATAACAAATGCAAGGCTTATTAAATAATGAATATTCATAACACATTGAAAGACACAATTGTGTAAGATTGTCCTAAATTAATTTGAATAAGTTCAACATCATGTTATAGATACTTTAATAAATTTTGTCCAATTTCCCACTTAAATTGTGGCTCCAATACCTTGATATTATCACACTAAATGAGCCAAAGGGTGTTAGAAAGGTCCTTTTCATTGATTTCAAAACATCCTGTGATGACTTAGTGGTAAAGACACTGGTAAGATGGAAACCAGAAAGTCAACAACAACAAAATTACATTTAGAGAGCGCCTTTCACGTCGGGAGGACGTCCCAAATCGCTGAACAGTCAGGTGTCGGGGCCCGAGCATGGGGGAGGGGTGGGGTAGGGGTGAGGGAAGGCAGAGAGGTGGGAGGGCGACCAAAGGCACGGTCGAAGTGAAGGGTCTTGAGACTGGCCTTGAAGGAGGCAAGGGTGGAAGCGGGGCGAAGGAACCATGGGATGGCGTTCCAGAGTGTGGGGGCAGAGAGGCTGAAAGCCCGGCCACCAATGGTAGGGCGGGTTGGATGGGAGACATGGAGCAGGCCGGAGCCCTTTGAACGGAGGGAGCGAACAGGTTGGTAGGGAGTCAGCAGATCAGAGAGGTAGGAGGAGGCAAGGCCATGGATGGCTTTAAAGGTGAGGACAAGGATCTTGAACTCAATCCTCTGGGGGATGGGGAGCCAATGGAGTCAGGCGAGGGCGGGAGTGATGGGGTCACGGAGCCTGGTGCAGTACACGAGCTGCAGAGTTTTGGTCAAAGAATTAATGGTTCCAGGATATGAATCCTCATCTCTGGTGAGTTAGCAGTTCGGGCACTAAAATTGGCCTCAATGCCCATTAATTAAGGGAGAAATTGCTACTTATTGCTAACGAGAATTCCCTAATGGAAGAGTGCGCGTCACAGCCAAACCTGATTTCCCCACCCAAAATAAGCAGGAATCTTTCACCCTCCACCCACCCTTTTGGGGAGAGGAGTGTAAATCAGGTGACGAGTCAGGTTTGGCAGTGATGTGTGCTGAGGCAGAATAACCTATCAACATTCACTGGCACAGTTCATGTATGAATATTGGCCATTTGGGCACGAAGCCTGTAAATTAAACATCTAAATTAAATTAGTCTGCAGCTTGTTATTGCAAAATGCATTAGCTATTTTTTGAGAAAAGGGTCTTAGTGATAAAGCATCAAACATTTATACAATGCTAACCAGTGCTAATACTAGCTGGCTTGATGAAAGTCTGATTGTGTTTTTATTATACAGTAACATACTATTGGTAAACATCTGAGGATTGTTTCTCAATAAATCAGCAGTAATGCTTTGCAATGTTTAACTCTTTATTTACAAGTCACTAAACATCTGCTCAGAGTACTCTATTTCATAAATACAAAAAGTGTAATCAAACATCTATTCATTAAATTATGAGTTCATTTGGGGGATTACAACGATTGAGCCAGGAAACCTGAGAACCTTTCTCTTTTCAAAAATATTGTGTTTTATTGTCAACCTGCACTGTTGTACTAGACCAATTTAATGTTTCATCTGAGATATTAAATCTCACACCTCATACACCAAACCTCTCCTCCAGTCCTGCACTAGGCTTTGAGCTCATGTCATGTAGAACAGGAACCCATAACTTTCCAACCTGGAGGTGAGACTGCCATCAATTGAGCCAAATTGACAAAAAGAGGCTAGGATACTCAACCAAAATGGATTTGTATCCAACACTGGGTATGGTATGTGGTCCTGATGATAAATAATGATATTATTAGTATAAAATACTGGAATAAAGACAACTCTTCAAGGAAAATGTTGCCCTTTGATAGATGCTAAACTTTCCATCTAGCCAGCCATTTTTGATTCAAATACACTTATGTAGCAGTCCAACCTACAAGAAAGAACATGCATTTTTTCATGTCTTCTCACATCAAAATGTCTCAAAGCTTCACTGGCTAATTACCATCAACTGCAGTGAACTGGCTACACAATTGGTGTAGGTAAACATTTATTCCAAACTTCACAAACATATGTGGTGAACAACCAGGTAATCTGGATTGTTGTCAGGGCACTGGGACAAACTCCCCACTACTTTCAAAAAAATTGATAGAATTTCAAAAATCCACATGAACATTCAGTAGGGATCTTGGTTTAACATCTCTTCAAACAACAGCCACGCTTAAAAACGCAAATCAACCAATTAGCCGAACAGCCTACAGCGAGAACAAGCAGTATCCAACAGCAAATTTTCCTCAAACCTTTTTGGCTTCTTAGGGCTCATTTTGGACACAATAATTTTCTCAGTTAACAACTGAACTTATTTCCAAAGCTTAATCTAAGCTTTTTAATGTGTATAAATAGCCACTACACATGATAATAATCCTTGCATTTGATACAGCGCTTTTCACGTCGGGAGGACGTCCCAATGATGCAGAGTAATTGAGTATGCTTAGAAAATGAACAAGCAAGGGTGCAATATGAACATTGTTGTTAAAAAGGGAAACCATGATTTGGTCAATTTTATAACTTTCAAGTGGAATGCGTAACAAAAACAGAGAGAGCTGGGAAAACTCAGCAGGTCAGGCAGCATCTATGGAGAAAGGAAAGTGAGTCAACGTTTCGGGTCCACGACCCTTCAAAGCTCTCTTTGTTTTTGTTTCAGACTTCCAGCCCTGCAGTATTTTTGCTTTGTTCAAGTGGACTGCGGGGAGGGCACCTAAATACGTTAAAGAGTGCTGTTCTTTTTAAATACAAAGAATGGAACTCCCAAACATTGGTTGCTTTAAACATAGGAACTCAAAGAAATATGTGAACCTCTCAAAAAAAATTGTTTGCGTCTGCAAGTGATCAATTCCAGCAAACATTATTCGGAACACACCATCCAAGGAGACAGAAGCAGACAATATCAAAAGGAAGCTATGATACACTGGCAAAAGAAGCAATTGATACAATTAAATAGAACATCAAATAGCATGCTTCAAAGCTTGGGATCAGTCAAACGGACCAATCATTTCCAGTCTTGTACATTCCTACATTTAATTCTCTCTCCTATAACTCACTTTTACTAGTTTCAAAACTTCGCAATGCGAAGGGATTGAGGCAGAGTTCCATAGTTTCGGGGTGTAGCAGCTGAAAGTACAGCCAGCGATGGTGCAGTGGAAGGGACCAGAGCCAGTTGAGCCATGGTGATGGGTAGTGGAGTGGGTGTAAGCAAGTCAGAAAAGTAGGGAGATGTCAGGGCATGAAATAATCTGTGCCTGATCGTGAAGATCTTGACAAGGAGTAATAATAAACCAGTGGAGTTTAGCAAAAACTGGGGTGTTTGGTGCAGATGAGCACAAGAGCAGCAGAGTTTTGAATTAATTGGATTTTATGAATGGTGGAGCTGGGGAGACCGTCGAGAAGGGCATTGGAATAATCGAAGCAGGAAGTGACGAATGCCTGAATAAGGGTTTTGGCTGCATTGGGTGTGAGGTAAAGTCAGAGGCTGGCAATGTGGCAAAGGTGGAGGAAAGCAGTCCTGGTCTGGGACCGGATGTGGGGTAGGAAGAACAGCCTGGGTTATGCACAAGTTCATTAAATCTGAGAGATAGGCCAGGGAGGCTTATGTCAAAGCCGCAGGTGAGAAGACTTTGAAGGGAGCCAAGGAGTATGGCTTTGTCTTATCAACATTCAGCCGCACAAGTTGGGACTCATCCAGGCCTTGATGTCCGACAAGAAAGTAGACAGAACATCAACAGATCTGAGGTCACAGCTAGAGGAGAAGCAGATTTGGGCATCATATCAAATCAAAACATAATCAAAAAAGGCAGAAAAATTGGAAGAACTCCTGCTCCATCATTTTGTTATTTTTCCAAAACATGAAAGTTATATTATGTTTGTGGATTCCTGTAGCTCAGTGGTTAGAGCGCTTGTCTTGCAAGCAAGAGACCTGGGTTCGATTACCGGCTGGGCGAAACCTTAGGCAAGTTTCCTTAATCCACATGCCTGATAATAATCCCTCAAGAAAAAAAAACAATAATAAATTAGTCACTTCAATCCACGATTGTTTGTGAGGACACTGCTGTGCAGAACTGACTGCCACATTTTGCCCATAAATATACAGTCAATTCACTTTACAGTGTGTTCTGTGAAGCGCTTTGGGACGTCCTCCCGACGTGAAAAGCGCTATATCAAATGCAAAGATTATTATTATTATTTATAGTATATTCTGCAAAGCGCTTTGAGACGTCTAGAAGACATGAAAAGCGCTATATCAAATACAAGGATTATTATTATTATGTCGAAATGCAATTCCACAATAAGTTTAGGTTTCCAATAACAACAACAACAAAATTACATTTGTATACAGCCTTTCACGTTGGGAGGATGTCCCAAGGCGCTGGACAATCAGTATTTCGGACCAGAGCTGGGGTCCGGATTGGAGAGGGTGGAGAGCAGGATGACCAAAGGCACGGTCGAAGAGGAGGGTCTTGAAGGAGGCAAGGTGGAGGGACTGCGGGATGGAGTTCCAGAGGGTGGAGGCAGAGTGTAGAAGGCCTACCCGCCAATGGTGGGGCGAACGAGGTGGGGGATATGAAGCAGGCCGGAGCCCGTTGAGCAGAGGGAGGGGGCGGGTTGGTTGGGGGTTAGAAGGTCACAGAGGTAGGGGGACACAAGGCCATGGAGGGCTTTGAAGGTGAGGACCAGGATCTTGAACTGCATCCTCTGTGTGATGGGAAGCCAGTGGAGTCAGGCGAGGATAAGGGGAGATGAGGTCACGGAGGCCGACAAGCAGGGAGTTTGCATAGTTATGGATGCCTGGATGTTATGAATGCATGCATGAGGATCTCTGCGGCCTGGGGTGCGAAACAGTGTTTAGGTAGCAAAAGTTACCTAAATGGCTATCAATTACATCGACAGGCCCAAATGTCATTGAAGCCATTGTATATGGCACTTACAATAACAACTTTATACTTTCAATAACAGCCAACAACTAAGGAATTTCAATCACAATACACCAAGAACAATTCCTCATCGTTTTAAATGTAGAATCAGTCAGTGCATTTAATCTCATAAATGACGTAAGAAAAATGATGTTCACCAAAATCCTGAATTAAACTACTTAACAGAAGAACGATTGACTTCACCATCACAGCAAGTTACTGACATAAAAGATATGGGTATTGATGTACAACTCAAACAAACAAGTCTTTTTTTTAAAAAAAATAAAAGAGTCTATTAGAATTGTGATCGCTGTATCAAATGCGAGGAACACTACTGTTAAAAGTAACTTATTGAAACAGATCAAAGGTGTTGGAAGTAAAGATTGCACACAAAATAAAGAGTCCACTCCACTTTACGATATGCATTGTGAAGCGCTTTGGGACGTTCACCCGAAATGAAAAGCGCTGCATCGAAAGTACGGACTTTTTTTTAAAAAAAAAGAAAAGTTAACTTTTAAAGACGGAGCAACAAAAAAAAACACACACATACACATTGTTGGGAGTTTCGCTGATGAAAGTGACTTCGTGGGCGACGCCGATTCTGGTAACGGGTATAACGGGGGACGGATAACTGTTTATTCAGCCCAACAGGTTATTTGTTACTGAGCAACTAGTGTTGCCATTGCAATGGGGGGTAAAGCTCCAGACATTAATAAGGGGGGAAAGGAGAGGAGAGGGGAGAGGAGAGAGGGAGGGGAGAGCCGCAGCCCCGGGGAGAGCCCCAGCCCCGGGGAGCCGCAGCCCCGGGGGAGCCGCAGCCCGGGGGAGCCGCAGCCCCGGGGGAGCCCAGCCCCGGGGAGAGCCGCAGCCCCGGGGGGAGCCGCAGCCCCGGGGGGAGCCGCAGCCCCGGGGGGAGCCGCAGCCCCGGGGAGAGCCCCAGCCCCGGGGAGAGCCCCAGCCCCGGGGAGAGCCCCAGCCCCGGGGGGAGCCGCAGCCCCGGGGAGAGCCGCAGCCCCGGGGTGAGCCCCAGCCCCGGGGTGAGCCCCAGCCCCGGGGGGAGCCGCAGCCCCGGGGGGAGCCGCAGCCCCGGGGGGAGCCGCAGCCCCGGGGAGAGCCCCAGCCCCGGGGGGAGCCGCAGCCCCGGGGAGAGCCCCAGCCCCGGGGGGAGCCGCAGCCCCGGGCCCCAGTGAGTGCGCACAAAGCCCATTACCTGTGGGCGCGCTGTCCAGGATGCGCAGGTCGTAGGCCCCGGAGCAGCGGTAGTTGGCTGCCGTGCCGTTGTCCCAGACCACCACCACCTCCTCCGGGCTCTCGAAGCTGCGCACGGTGCCCACGTGGCCCTCGCCGCCGTCCTGTTTGCCCCACTTCCAGTCGGGGCCTCGCACCACCCGCGCCCCGACCCCCTCCATCATCACACGGTTGTTCCGCGAGTTGCTCATCGTGTCCTCTGTTCACAGCTGCTCATAGCAACGGAGGCCCTCCTCTCCCCCAAACGCTCACACTAACGGCCCGGGGCTGAGCTCCCCGCCGGGCCCAACCGTCCAGCCCTTCCCCCCAACCTCCCGGCCGGGATCCACAGACGCCGGCCGCCGCCTCCACCAACTCTCTGTCTGTCGGGCGATCCGGGAACCTGAGGGACCGTGGGGGGTTCTGGGCATGCGCATCAACCCCGCCAGGCCTACAGCTCACGCCTGCGCGTTTGCATCTTGTGACAAATGGGTCAAAAGTGCCGCCATCTTTCATAAGGGCAGAGAGAGAGAGAATGAATGAATGAATGAATGACAGGGGAACCTCAACCTGTTCAGTGAGGAGAGGAAAGGGAGGTTGGAGGTGGGGCGGTAGTTTGAGAGCAGCAATGGGTCCAGAGAGAGTTTTTTTTTAAAGAAAGGAATGATAATGGCCGTTTTTAAAGGGGTGGGAACGGCACCAGCGAACAGGTTTATGATGGCTGTGAGTAGAGGGGCAAGGAGGTGGAGCTGGGAGGTCAAGGAGAGGGGCAGGGATGGGGTCGAGGGAGCAGGTGGTCGGTTTCATGTGGGTCATAGTGGTGGTGAGACAGGTTCGAAGGTGTGGAGGGAGGGAGGGTTAAATAAAGCAGCACACCCCGCTGTACACCCCATTGTATTGGAGTATCAACAATGACGACTATGAGTTAGAACTTTAAAATAGTTGTTAAAAGAGGAGAAATTTTTTCACACAGTGAGTTATTCAGATCTGGAACGCATTGCCTAAAAGGGTGGTGGAAGCCGATTCACCAGCAACTTTTAAGAGAGAAATAGATAATTTTATTTCGGGAGGATCAGCTTGCAGGGCTACGCGGAGAGCACTGGGGAGTGGGATTGATTTGGATAACACTTTTTAAAGAGCCGGCACAGACACGATGGGCCAAATGGCTTTCTGTGCTGTATAATTGTATGATTCTATGAAGTCCCAATGTGGGGCTTGAACTCAGAACCTTCTGATTTAGAGGCAAGAGGGCCACCAACTGAGTGTCAACTGACTGACAACATTATTGGAGTGAAATGTAGCTATTCCAATTTCTGTTGGGTTTTGAAATTTGGGAAACAGTTCAACTATTTTGAGTAATATCCAATATTTATGTAGATCTTTCATATCGATTCTACAGGCTATGTTCCATTGATGTGTTCTATGGACCAATCAATTGGCAGAAAAACATTCTGATGTGCATTTCTATCCTTGCAGCTAAATTGGTAAATAGTAGTTTCAATATTGTAAGACAAAAACAATGATTCCAACAAGTCTAGCCTTGAATGTTAATTACTGTGGGCTGGGATTCTTTCTCCTGTTAACCCTGGAAGCCAAAGCCTTACTAGGTAGTGTGCTCCCAGCTGAACAATTCTTGCAGAAACCCAATCCATAATCTGGGATCCCCAAGGTTTGGCTCTTGACAAACTGCACCTAACTCTTGGGATTCGGTAAAGAACATAAGAATTAGGAGCAGGAGTAGGCCATTCGGCCCCTCGAGCCTGCCCCGCCATTCGATAAGATCATGGCTGATCTTCAGACCTAACTCTAATTACCTGTCCTATCCCCATATCCCCTAATCCCTCTATTTTTTAAAAATCTATCAGTCTCAGCCTTGAAGATGTTCAAGGACTGAGCATCTGAAGCCTTCTGGGGTAGTGAATTCCATAAATTCACTACCCTCTGAGTGAAGAAATGTTTCCTCAACTCTGTTCTAAAAGGCTGACCCTTAATTTTAAGACTGTGACCCCTGGTTATAGATTCTCCTACCAGGGGAAACAGACCCTCAGTGTCTACTTTATCCAGCCCTTTCGGAATCTTATATGTTTCAATAAGATCTCCCCTAATTCTTCTGTACGCTAGAGAATAGAGCCCTAGTTTATTCAGCCTATCCTCATAGGTCAGTCCCCTCATCCCAGGAACTAACCGAGTGAATCTACACTGCACCCCCTCTAGGGCAAGTATGTCCTTTTTCAAATAAGGAGACCAAAACTGCACACAATACTCTAGGTGCCGTCTCACCAAGGCCCTATACAGTTGCAGCAAGACTTCCCTACACTTGTACTCTAAACCTTTTGCAATGAACGCTAACATGCCGTTTGCCTTCTTAGTTGCTTGCTGCACCTGCAAACTAATTTTTTGAGACTGGTGTACAAGCACACCCAAATCCCTCTGAACACTAACGCTATTTAATCTCTCCCCCTCTAGAAAATAATCTGTAAGCACTGATCCTTGTGGCAGTCCACTAGTCACATCCTGCCAATTCGAGAATGACCCGTTTATCCCTACTTTCTGTTTTCTACCTGTTAGCCACTCTTCAATCCATGCTAATATGTTCCCATGAATCCCGTGGGCCTTAACCTTGTGCAATAGCCTTTTGTGTGGCACTTTGTCAAATGCCTTTTTAAAATCTAAATATACTACATCTACTGGTTCTCCCCTATCTAAGCTACTAGATACATCTTCAAAAAACTCCAAAAGATTAGTTAAGCATGACTTCCCTTTTGTAAAGCCATGTTGACTCTGCCTAATCTTGTTATGGTCTTCCAGGAATCCCATAACGACATCTTTAATTAAGGACTCAAGAATTTTCCCTACCACTGATGTCAGACTAACTGGTCTATAGTTCCCCATCTTTTCTCTCCCACCCTTCTTAAATAGTGGTGTTACGTTTGCAATCTTCCAATCAATGGGAACCGTACCAGAATCCAGAGAATTTTGGAAGATCAAAGACAAGCCATCCACTATCTCAGTAGCCACCTCTTTTAAAACCGTAGGATGTAGGCCATCAGGTCCAGGGGATTTATCAGTTTTAAGACCTGACAATTTATCTAAAACCATTTCTTTACTAATATTAATTCCCCCAAGTTGCTCGCTAACATTGTCTTCTTGGTTCCTCTCTATTCTTGGTAGGTTTTCAGTGTCTTCTAAGTACTCGTTTAATGACGCTTGCAGTCTGTCTTTATGTTCTTCGCTAGTTTGCCCTCATATTCCAAAGCAGTGTCTCTGGGGAGAGCGCAAGCATTCCATACCAAAACAAAAACCATACATAGTTAGGAACTCTGAGTAGCTAGGTTTTGGAGACTTTTAAACATAGCATTGAATTTCTGCATGTAGCTAACCAAAAATATGTTAATTCTGAAAATTCAGAATTCTGCATGCACATTGAAAGCCTAGGATCTATGAACTGTGATACTGTTGTTATCACATTAGCCAAGTTACAACTTGTAAATGAAGGCCAGATGTGTAGCAAAAAATAATAGCATTTATTTTTTTGAATGTCTTTGAATGAATGGTCTAAACCTCTTCATTGTAGTGACAAGAATAATTAATTCAAAGGTGATCCTGCTTCATGTTTTGAATATCAATAAAGCTCAGTTCATAGCTGACTAGTAGGGACAATAGCATTTGTTTTGATGGATGCTACAAACTCATTAAAGCCTTTAATCAAACCTAGTAGAACAACAAAAGTGCCAAAGTCTATTTGAGGATGAAATCCCAAGTACTAGTCCTCACAGCACTTACTTAGTCAAGTTGACACATAACGTGTTGACCCATGAGTGACTTGGACTAAAATGTTGTCAAATGTTTGCTTAGTCTTCTCTACATTTGAGATAACTGAGTCAGAAGTTACATGAGGACAGTAAAAGAAGCACATCAGATAGAAAACAGCAGAAAAAACAGATGGAACATATAAGGATGTGGTTCTATTTCACAGGAAATTTTAGGCAGAGTTTACATGTGATATTCATTGGATCTGATATTATAACATTGACCAGAGTTACACAATTATAAGATGAGTTCAGTTGAAGAAGTTCCTTCAGCCTGGTTTGTTCTAATTTTCCACAATAGACATCCTATAGTCCTCCCATTACAACATCCAGATTTTTTTTAATGTGTCCAGTGTCCTGGCCTCAACACCCTTCCCGGTAACCTGTTTCAATTGACAATTATGTTCTAGGTGCAAGGAAGGTTAAGAAAAATGAAAAATTGTTAAAGAGGATCAAGAAACAAATAAAGGTCTTCATGGCCTGACAACAACAACAAACAACATTACATTTATAGAAAGCCTTTCACGTCGGGAGGACGTCCCAAGGTGCTGGACAATCAGGGGTCAGGATCCGAGCATGGGGGAGGGGTGGGGTAGGGGTGAGGGAAGGCAGAGAGCTGGGAGGGTGACCAAAGGCACGATCAAAGAGGAGGGTGTTGAGACCGGCCTTGAATGAGGCAAGGGAGGAAGCGAGGTGAAGGAACTGTGGGATGGAGTTACAGAGCATGGGAGCAGAGAGGCTGCAAGCCCGGCCGTCGATGGTAGGGTGGTTCTGGCAGGCAACATGGAGCAGGCCGGAGCCCACTGAACGGATGGAGCAGGCAGGTTGGTAGGGAGTCAGCAGGTCAGAGAGAAAGTAGGGGACAAGGCCATGGATGGCCTTGAAAGTGAGGACAAGGATCTTGAATTCGAGCCTCTGAGGGATGGGGAGACGGTGGAGTCGGGCAAGGGTGGGAGTGATAGCGTTATGGAGCCTGTTGCATGAGAGTACACAAGCTGGAGAGTTTGGGATGATCTGCAGCTTGTGAAGGGAAGAGTTGGGAAGGCCGATGAGGAGGGATTTTCCATAATCGAGCCTTGATGTGACGAATGCGTGGGTAACGGTTTCAGCAGCCTGAGGGCTGAGGCAGTGGCAGAGTCGGCGAATCTCCTGAGCCTAAGAATCTCCGAGGGAGTTTCCTGCACAAATATTGCACAGACCAGCTCAGTCGTCACAATGGTCTTTCAACAAACATAGGAAATCCTTGAAATCCTAAATCTGGTTCCATGACTAATATTTTGAACAGAATAGGTGGAAAAATATCGCCTCCCTGGTGTATACCAGTTCAAAAATATAAGTCAAAAGTATAATTGCAAAGGATTTTCAATATTAAAACTCAGCAATACGATACTAATCCCTTTTCTAAGATTATATATTTAGTGAACTATTATTTTTGTAAGCAGAAGCTTGTGACAACACTAGTGATATCTCAGATACATACAATATTTCTCATATTCCCTGGTTTTTCTGATCCTATTTTTGAAAGCCACTCCCCATATCCATCCAGATAATAC